AATTATCTGGGAACTTTTGTTAGAGATAGGAAATTACTCCATGCATGTATATAGATCAGTTGATAAGTGATTTACTCATAGTAAGCATACTTCCGTTATCAGTTATCTACCTCAGTTAACATGGACTTCTGAGCACAACGTGTCATATTTTTTTTCACTGGGCCGCCTGTGGCAGAGCCCAGTTATAAAATGGGTTGGGTTTTTCCTTTGGCACAAATCGCGCTCTGGCGTGTTCAGTGCGTGCGCAAGATATAACAGTATGCATAGAATAGGTCAGCAGAGTACATTCTAAGGAGCTCGAAGCGACTAGAAGCTATAAGCAATCTATCTTCTGTGGAAGCATAAGAATGCCAAAAATACGAATGTAAAAGCTGTTGATGGTAAGTCCACAGCTAAAGATGGAAAGAGTACATTTTGGAAGTGGTATAGTTCATAAACTATACGAGAGACCCATTTACAAGCGAACTCTTCCGAGTGATCTTTTATCGAGAAACCTTGTGTGCTGTGAGATATCTACTGAGTTAGAAGCGCTAAAGAGAATCACCCGAATTAACTGTTCATTAAAACTGAAACGGTACGTAAAAGTTACGAGCAACTTGATCGGTGAAATTCAACAGTGTTTCTGATTAACACAACAGCCTTATGGAAGAATTAAGTATTTCAATCGCCAGCTTTTGGGTAACAATATCCTTGCTTTAATACTGTACGATTGAAACTATGTATTTCTATTGCACCCTGATTGCACGTACTCATCAAGAACGAAAATATTATCAATGCTGGGTACTGCTTCCCTGCTAGCAGAGGTCTCTCATTTTTCCTCTCATTTTCAGTTGCCTCGTCGTGAGAGATCTCTGCTAGCAGGGAAGTTACTGTGTACTTTTTGAAAATCGCAGAAATTAATTCCGAGCGAGAAAAACCAATGTGTCCTAGTCTTAAAAATAAGTTTCCGCAAAACAGAAAAAAAATCACCAATCCGCAAAAATATACTCCCACAAAAATTTCGTGCCACACGGTATACCCACCTAGCTTGTTTTGGGCCGACCATAAAAAACATTGGAATTATTATCAATCATCTATTTATAGTCTTACAGCGCTTTCCAAAAGTCAGAACTAGCAGGCCAGACTATAGCCGAACCAGTCATTTTGACAATGAAATATGCTTTTTGCCAAGAGTTTTCGTTGAAACACCATCTCCTTCGTGCATGCTATTTGAGATCTGACTGTTCTGACTAGATAGTTTGGATTAAAAGTGAAATTCTCATTATGAGTGGAATGGTCTGGCCAGTCAGTTCTGACAAGTGGAAAGCGCCCTCAGTTCAAACAGTTTAACGAGACCCTTGGGTTGGGGTGGTGTCCGGCATGGGAATGGGTTTAGCAAGGTTACTTCTTCCTTTGAGACTCTGTCAGCTGTCTGTTGTGGTAAACTTCTCGTTTTTCATACAATACATTATTTCTATCTAGTCTAGGTTTTATGGCAGCCCAGTATACACGTTCTGGTGTCTAGTTTGTATTAAACTGGCTAACTTTTTAAGCCAGAGATACACGTTACATTTCTTTCCGGAGTACAGTAAACTCTGTAGCTATATATAATAATGGCACCTCAGTCACTAAAAGTACAGACAACTATTGAAGCAGACTTTTCTTTAGGGCTGTTTTCCACTATTTTTACCGTTTCGTCCCGCCGTCTGCTCCTTTATCTGCGAAAACGGAGAGGATACAGATATTTAGTGCTCAACAGAGCTGGCCAACAGTCAGGTAAGGACAGGTCGTTTATATTCAGGAGTAAACTAAGAAACCTGGTCTGACTAATCCACTGATAAAACTTGATCAGTGAAGGAGAGCAATCTGCCATAGACGAGGGAATTTAATTATTCTGCGGTGGCTTTGAAATCAGATGTGTAAGTAATCTCATACACTGTTTCTCTGCATGTATTGGTTTCAACTGATTAACAACCATTTGCATCAGAAGTGAAGTGTTATGAGTTAGAAGTAGAAATGTTTTTTGGAGTGGTGAGATTACAACTTCACGAAACCTCGTTATAGCCAACGTATATTGCCAGTCACTTGGCCTTTCAGATTATATGGAGGTCCACGACTCCACTGTAATCAACTCTTCTGTAGACTTCAGTGCCATTCCAAAATTGTGGGTTTTTTTGCGCATTTATGCGGTGGGATGTAATTTATATAATAACCAATCACAAAACGGTAATATTTGAGACCACAAATTGTTTTCTTGTAAAAACCAACTGGCCCCGTTTGTCGTCTGATATGATTGGTTCGATACTTCATTAGTTTGACGTCTGGCCAATTACAGACGAACTCAACTTAATTCAACTCGACCAAAATTACACTTTGGTTCGTTTCATGAAAAGTCCGACGTTTAGCCCGGGCCTAAAAAATTGAATGATTATAAGGTAGATTAATTAAAAGATAAACAAATAAGCTTCAATTCTGGGGTGTTCATTTTCATTTGAATCATTTATATTGTTTTTTTTAACCGATCAACCGCTAACGAATCAGATTTTGACAGAACTTATATCTGACTTACAAGGTCTATTCTCCAAGATAATACTTTGAATTGCTATTGCGTTAAATGAAGTACGTTCGCTGTCAAAATACACATTTGAATCACATGGATGAAGGAATAAAAAAGGTTACACTCCCTGAATATAAAACGCTTAACAATTTTAAAAGAAACGTCATACACACCCACCAGTTTCTTTTTTTCTCCGAGCTTTGCCCACGCCATGTTTTCATTTGCATGTTGTTATATTACCCTTTTGTCCCCAGTCATCATCTGCAAATAGCCAAACTAGTTGACTTTACGAGCTACTTGGCTCTTCTACCTTTTTATCCACAAGTAAATCGCTTTATTTTAATTAAAGGGTAGCTTTGTTGCTAGAAAAGGTAAGGGCGACTGAAGCACAAAAATGAATGTCAATATAAAGAGATTATCTTGAATTGCAAATAATCCGGCTATTTTTGTTCCATGCACCTGTTGGCGACCAGGCTGTCATTTCCTGAGGCAATGTAAGCAGAAACAAAATATTCATCTTAAAAACAACTGCCAGCAGTACCGTTTGGCTAGAAATTAGTATCAGTTCATGAGTTAACGTGCATAAATCAGACACTGAGCTTCCAGCAACAATCCATTCGGTTTATGCTGATACCAAAGGTAAGGTCTCTGAAATTGTCCAATTTGTACCTGAATGATTTCTGATAGAAAATACACCATGCCGGAAACTCAGTGCCCGGCATGATGTATGGCTGAAGGCATTAAAAAAAATATGTAAATACGGCTGCGCTGTAATATATAACTTAAAGGACCGTAAGAATTGTAAGAGAAAGATGATATTTACGCCGGTCAGTGGAAGCTATTGATTAGAACAAAAAATAAAAAAAACTGAAAAATTAAATTTGAACGAGGGAAAGTTCCCTTTAGATGGTCATTTTCATTGGTATCACACTGGTTTTCAACAATGTATCCGCGATGTGTATGCTTGCTTTCATTGCTGTAAGCAATTTATCGGGCGACTTAGTGGTACTTCAGGAGGTACCATGCATGGATAAACAATAACAAACGGGAAAATATAAATGAATAGAAAAGGACAGTTAATTTTCAGTCCATTTTTTTATGGATTTTAACAATAGCGGTTTGTCGTTTTGCTTTCTTTTAGCGATATTATCAATTTTTGCCGGGTAATTAAAAAATGGATAGGCCCAGCTGGAGATAAATGGTCGTTACTTCAGCTCACGGAACCAATGAAATTTAAAAACTAATCGATGAGATTTTGTACACAAATTTAAATACTCGACTGCTGTATCTTTATTACCCTATGTTGCTGTGTGAGTAGGGAAGCTTGTTGGCAATTTTGCGAGGTACAGAAATTTTCTTTTTGGTTGTTATCTCTGGACTTCCCACAAAATTTGCTGGCGATGACATCGATAATCGGGTCAAAATAAATAATAAGTTATTTATGTTTGGTGTTAAGTCGGCCTTCAAATTCATAATTTTGTTTTTAGAGCTATACATGCGGCTCCACTGGTACTTATACACCAGTAATTTAATTGTAACAAACCCTCACAACAATGAAGAAAAAATGTCATGTCGTGGCTTGTGATTTACACGATAGGAACTCATTAAGACTAATCTAACCCAATATGTTAGCCCTATTTAATTTTTTTCTTCGATGTTGGGTGCCAAATCTAGTATCGCGAGTAATATTGGACTCCTTATACTTAAAAACAAGTTAATATATATTTTGCTTAAATTTGCAATTCTGTACTTGATTATTTTAGCTGGATGTTGGCATACCGCCAGAGTATACTGAAGAACTGAATTAAAATCGATTCGTCGTGTTCAAATTAGTACTAATTTGGCAATTTACCATGGCGAGTCAATTTTTTGCGATAATTTATCGTTGTAAGTGGTATTGCACGAAAAATCTACCGTTTGTTATTGCTCGCAAATATGATATGATACGAAATCAAAACTTCAAAACTTTGAAACATTTTGAGCCAAACTGCGAACATCAGCCTCAGATAAGGATACTAATATAATTATTTCTTTCAGTAAATTGACTTACAAAAAAAGCATGTCTTTTTGTATTAATTCCCTAATGACTTAGATCCAATCTGCGATTTCCATTTTTAGTGTTCTGGCTTTAATATTATTACTTTTGCGTAGGCTGCATAATTAAGCGACAATATTTTTATTTTTTACTGTTTGACGTCAGAAGAGAGCGAAATGCCCATATAAAAAAAATTGATATAAAAGCCTTGGATGTATGAAACGGCAAAATTGAAAGAAACACATAGTTCAGGGTAGTAAAAGCCACCGGGATCAAGATTTTCGTCATCATTGATTCAAGCAAGAGGGTATAAACATCGTTCATTTTTCAATTTGCATACCATTTCATCTTCGCCCAAATCATCGGGGGACCTCGTCCGCCTTAGTGATGTATTGACTTGAGATTATATCCTTTTTACTATGTACACAGGGAAAGTGAAACTGAAAATACCAAAACCAGCATTCTTTACTGATACATCACTGCCCTGCGGGAGATTATATCCAGGATAAAAGACGAAATATCAAGGACTTGAATCTTGACGGAACACCGGCTTTGCGATATTTTCACGGTGTCCAGGATACGGCGCTACCACAACTTTGACTTAAGCAAAAATTCCATTGGCAAATGGCCAGAGGTTGCCCGGCAAAGAAAGACGGCACGCTGAAAGTTATTCTCTTGGAAAGCTGATAGCAATTGAGACCAAGTGTCTGGCAACACAAGATAAAGACATGGAATTTAACAATTCCAGCAACACTGAAATTTCTAACTGTCAAGTCTCTATCGCAGAAAGTGTGAACAATCTACGCTTTAACAAAATCGACGATAAACACGACGTCGACGATGACGGCCTACAGATAATTTTAAAGCACAATAAATCACCGAAAAGTGGGCTTTTAAAGTCAAAATTCAGAACAACTGGTGCTGCACGTATCGGTCACACAAACTCATTATCTGTTCTACAAAATTCATCGACGACTGATTTAACATATGAATCGAACGATATTCAAGACCGAGAAGAAACGCCATTAATTGGAGATACAGACCTATTTTCATTGCCTGTTGTAAATAGCTGCGATATGCGGGTGCACCATATTTCTGATGGAGTTCCAAGTATTACAGTACACCAAGATAGAGAGAATCGCGTCACAAGTAAACCCTCTACCAAACAAGAGTTGGATCCCAATTTCTTGATGCCAACTGAAGTAAGTGAATTTAATAACAGTTAAAACTTTGGGTATTGTGCAGCTGTTATTTAAAATTTAGTCATTCTGTAGCTATTATTTGTATAACATATTATTTACAGCCACCTGTTAAAAACGTGGCTCAGAGGAGAGTTTAAAGGTTCGGTCCATTGTTGACAGATAGCGTTCTATTGGTCGGACTCCAGAATTACTCAAAATGAAATTAACTGGTTATTCACTTGTTTAGTGGGATCCGATTTTATTGCACTGTGACATTTGCCACGAGTGCTGGTAGACTGGACGCGAAATAATGAGCGTCTCTGAAGGTACCACGGGGCATAGATTTCGTTGCGCTTTTCCATCAAATCGCCCGTTTTTTTTCAGGTTTTTTAGGCGAAATCGCCAGCTCGGACGATGGAAACGAGAAAACAAGCAAAACAAAAACTCTGAACTTGCGGCACAATTTTTGGCAGATCTTTTTGCCGTCAATGCACGATTAACGCTGTCAAACGTTATTAAAAACTAGGCAATGCAATCGTCGCTTCATCATGGCGATCTTCGCGACTTCGATTCCGTCGGAAATATCCATACAGAGGCTCAATAATGACAGAGAAGCTAAATTCCAGTTGCTTCAAGGGCCCCATCAAAGGAATCTAAGAACTGAAAACATAAATTACAATACGTTACTCGTGCATAGAGAAGGTGGAAGTAGCCTGCGAGTACAGCCGTTTCATCTGTCCTTAGTGGCGAGGAGCAAGGAGAAACGGCTGTATTCGATTAAAGCTAACTAAAGGTGGAACGCGACGCGAGTAAAAAGTACATTATATCACGTTTGTAAATGATAGTTTACGAAGTTCATTCAGGTTTAAACTTCACTTAAGTTAAGTTTTTGTTAATAACTCCTTATTTTCTTGATCGATTAATTCCTCTCTGAAAAGTTGTAGTTACTTGTCATATTGATTGATTGGCTTTCGTTAATTTTAAGTCAAGTGTTGAAGAAGCCAGATATATGCTAGCGTCCAGAAGAAGGTCCTTTCCGTGCATTGGTCAAAATATGCCACGCACGAGTCTTGATATGGTGATAGAAGAGCAGTCATGTGAAACTCCAGATGGGGACAAAGGACTGACGTCACTGACTTCTCTTGGGGTTCCGCGGCATAGAAGCAGGTCACGGAGTCTGGATAACACCCTGGAAACAAACAACAGTTTTGCTGCCTTCAAGGAATCTCTTAAGGTTGGTCATAAATGCGATTTGTGTACCAGCTTATATATCGTATTTTCGCTGTCTGTAGCTATAGCAACATGCGGCTTTAACACCATCACGGCCAGTTCAAGCATTGCGCGCTAGCATGCAAATAACTCGGTCAGGGGGCCAGGAAAAATATTGGACGAGGTTGAGCAAAATATCTTAATTTGTCAGTGGCGAGCAGATCAATTATTTGCTAAAGCCGAAGGCCGAGGCAAATAATGGATCCCGAGACACTGGCAAATCAGCTTGTTTGATTATTTGTGAAATATCTTTGTTTGTTACGGCAGCAAACCGCGGGAAGCAATTTTGGTTGTTTGCCTTCGCTCGCTCGAAGGAACTGGAGGTGAATCACTGAATAGCACTGGATATCCGGAGGTTGAGTAGCCAATCAGAGCGCGCTAAAAACGCTATCAGCTGTTTTCTAAATAGATTTAGGACCTGTTTACATGAAGGTGGGGGACCCCTGGCCCCAGATGCTTTAATCACCGAATAAATCATTATCCAGTGGATTAGCCTGCGTAGCTGGCGGTATTGTGTAGTAGTGGAGTGAGATTTGGCGGCGGAGCCGTTGTAATATAGTCGAATGAGATTTGACGGCGGAGCCATCACGCCTTTTTTTGGAACATGGCTCCGCCGCCAAAACTTTAATCTCGCATCCACACAATACCGCCAGCTACGCAGGCTACCAGTGGATAAGTATTTGGGAAACCAATTGCGTTATCCAGTAGATAATGATTTATCCGGTGGATAACGCATTCCACCTTTTCAACATCTGGGTCCAGGTATGTGAGGTAACCGCTATGTCCATATAATCTCTCATTTTAAGTTTGATCACGTTTACATGATAGGTAGGGTGACCCGCCACATGTTGCCTCACCTGTCTGGGGTCCCTCAACTCCATGTAAACAGGCCCTTAGCCAGGGCTGAAAGCGAAGCTCTCGTTGATATTTATAGTTTCCTCAAACAAAGAAAAAAAATCGTGAAACGCTGTTCTGCAACGGCAAGGTAAACGACAAAAAAGATAAGTAGGTCTAACTAGCAAAAACCCCCAACTTTCCTTCCCTGGTCCCAGAGGTTTTTCTTGATTATTCTTCGCGAAAGAGATCAAGAGCAAACCGCGAAGCGGCGACAAGGAGTCGCGAAAGCGACGAGGAGAGAGAGAAAAACCTCTGGTTACCTTGGCCTCGAATCTCACTTTCATGCAGACGACAGCTGTCAAACGCGTCAAATTGCTAATAAAAAGAGTGACCAATGGCAACTTAGCAAACACGTGCTTATCAGCCGCTATTTTTTAAGTGGGGTAGACCTGGGAAATTATGTTATGAACAAACCATCTTCACTTGGGTGGTAAAGAGTGATTTGTTAATCGGGGTCAAGCTAAAGCATGTGTTAACGATGGGCGACAAGAGTCCAGGAATAAGAAGACCACTTTATAAAGAAACCGACATTGTTTCAAACGAATGCTGCAGGATTTGCAGAATTTATTTGGGTATAATAACAAGTATTTTTCACAAACATTGTCATCTGTTCTGTCGGCAGTGTGCCAGCGGGAAGTTGTAAAGTTTGCAAGAGTCTATCAATCGCGCTTATTACATTGTTTACTTCTGCGGGGCGCGCCGTTCGCGTCGATTCGCAGGCATTCCCCTGAAAATAGTAATATTAATATGTATTCTGGCAATCTGGCTCTCATTTTGGTTTGGTGGCTCCATTTCCTTTTTTTGTGGAACAAGGACGCTCGGAAGAGTCATGCAGCACAACAAACCCTTAAGGTTCGGAATGTACTTTCAGAGGTTTTTGTTGGCCCAATAGACCTATTCGGCTAACTCAATGTGCCCAATTCAAACCCTTTGGGAATAAAACGTTTTGTTTCAGGAATTTCCATATCATTTAAATGTGAATGCCACATTATAATGCAAATGCAATACATAAAGAATCTTATCCCCGGGAGATTTGAATTGGGTACAACATTGAGTTAGCCCAATAGGTCTATGCCAAAAATAGCGTCGGTTAGATTTTTTTTGGGCGTCGCAGGAAAATCAAGCTGCACCGAAAATGATTACGCACTTGGACAAAGTTGTATGTTTTTTTTCCTACAAGGAAACTTTCATTCCGTATTCGGAGATTTTTTATTTTGCTGCCCTAAACAAGTTAGTTTATTTAATGGAATGACAGTATTGTAACAGAAAATATACTCCTATGTCCGGTTGATAAAATGGTGAACACATCCTTTCGACTCAACGCAGCGAACAAAGCTGAAGCGCTCATTAAGTACCGAGGTCAAAATTTCTTCGAATATTCTTTCAGGAACAACATCCATGGCGTGCCTCTACGTGCCTTGGTCCCGTGCAAATGTTATTGCGAGTGCAGCATACAAACAATTTTCTTCCCTAGTAGAGAGAGGCAAAATGAGGTGTGAAAATCCTCAGCGTCCCCTCGGTAGTTACAATTAAACGAGCCAATCAAATTGGTTTGCGCGTTTGAAAAACTATCAACCAATCAACGCCCGAGGGTCAGATCCTGACCCTGTCGTCAGCACGAAAGTAAGATTCGAGGCCAAGGTAACCAGAGGTTTTTCTCTCTCTCCTCGTCGCTTACGCGACTCGTTGTCGCCGCTTCGCGGCTTGCTGTTGATCTCTTTCGCGAAGAAAAATCAAGAAAAACCTCTGGGACCAGGGTACAACTTTGCACGTGTAGCAAATTTTTTTTTGTACATTTCTTTGCCGTTGTTTTGCACGTCTTCAAAGTGAAACTTCCAGAAACGTCCTAGTTACACGTTTTATCGAGGAAATGTCGTATATGTGTTTATGTTCACTATTTTTACTGAGTGTCGCTAATTTTCATCTTAGTAGCCGCTAGCATTTCTCGTTTTCTCACCGCCGCTATAAAACTTTCATGTTTTTCCTCCAACGAAATTGGTCTCCTTTGTTTCAAACTCTCACTCTAGCCCTTTCCCTGTTATCCATGTCAATGTAGACGAAATTTAGTCGAAAGAAAGACTCGGTTTGTTTTTTTCTCTCTCTATAAGCCTAAGGGTGGTGGGCATGCGATTTACAGCCGAAACGCGTGGGTCCTTTAAATGCAAATTTCCAGATCATGAAAAAACATCACTCGGGCTGCCATGAATGGGTGGACTTACGGACGTACTTACAGACTTACGTAACGACGATTTTCTTAGAACCAAAATTTCTCAGTGGATGCGTAGATAACAAAATTTTCTTACACTATACCCTTGGTGCTACGCCGAGAGTGCAAAAGCTCCCTAATAAACATGCACCTTCATCAGACAACCTAATAAACCTTGGATCTTTTCAAGCTTCCACAACGGCTCACCGTCGCCAAGTGTTCCCGATATATAGACAAGTAAAAAAGATTCAGATTATCCTGCCCTTGTAAATTTGTCATTGATCATACTTGACATTCGTTTGTAGAGTTAATTGCATCCATCGTTTTCTAAAAACAATGTGTGGCACTGAAATTTTCAAACGCTTAGAAGATTTCTGTTTCTGATTTCTTTTAGGTTCGAAACGTCAAGAGAAAAGTGCTTGGTACATGAGAAAATTGATCAGGATGGGTACTCTTTGACCACGAGCTTGGTTATCAAGCGATTCAGGCTTTTTACCTTCACCTCTTAACAAGAATGGAAGCCATAACCCCGAGTTAGTTATCATGCTGTCCGTTTCGTAGAAGCACTGAGATGCTACAGTCAAGACGATTGATCGAGCAGAGAAGAGCCGCTGGTGAACGCTACAATGCATAAGGGATTTTAGTTATGCCGAAAGATATCGTCCAGAATACGAAACGAGCCCTTTTGTTGGCGTTGTGTGAATACTATAAGACACTATAAACTTTTGGCCACTTTTGGTTATTGGAACAATCATACAGGACAAAACATTCGTCCAACTAAACTATTCCTTACAAAATCTTATATCGTTTGCAATTTATTTATTATTTACTCTGTAACGCGAGACAATTAAAACTTTTTCACTTACTTGAGGATCCGTATCCGGCTTTGAGTAAAACCGCTTTGAAACAGATTTCTGTGAATCAAAGGATGCGAAAAGCGCATCTGTGAAGAGAGGCCTGGGTGCCAGTTGAATGAAACTCAAAATCGGACTGTTGGAAAAAATAAGTATCGCATTTCCTCCAACAATAGTCGAGGCGATTATTACTATTTTTCGCACAAAAAGGAGCGATAATTTGAGGGAAGAAGATTATTTCAAATTTTGCCCACTGGAAGTCGTGCCCTAAAAATTTTGGTTTATTATCCCATCAAATCAAAAAATGATCACATCAAAATTAAATAAACTGAACATAGGCTTTCTAAGTGTTCTAAATTTGGTTCCTTGATTAATTTTCAGTGTCAATATCCTAGGCGTCAGAGCTTGAATCCTCACTGATCAGTTTTGCTGGATCAGACTCCACTTCAACGCGACAGGGAGGGGATAAAAAAAAAGAAAAGATGGCGAGGGAGGGGGTCTAAGGGGTGATTATTCGATCGAGGGAGGCGTGAGCGCAAAACGTTACTCACAGGACGGACGTTAAGACAGAAAATTTGATTTTAGATATTTCCGACCTAAGGGTTTATTGATTATTCGTTAACAATCGATGGGAAGGCGATTAATCGAAGGATATACAAAGCGGTTTCGAAAACTAAGAAATAAATACAGCGAAAACTATAGTTTAAGATAAATAAGACTGAAGCTTGCCTGTTGTGATAAAACTCAAGCTTACCCGTCGTGACATGATCTCAGTGCGAAGACTAGGTTATAGTATATTATGCGTTTTTGTCATACAAGCGTACTTGCTTGTGAGATTTGGGAAAAGACTTACTTCTGTGTCCGCTTTAGGGATTTCACAGCGTTGACGTTGAGCCTTACTTTGATCTTAACACTATGACACGTTGACTAGAACTGAAAAAGTTTCTTGAGCACGTTCGACAATACTAACTAATACAAAGGATAATAGGCTTCTTTGTTTGTAAATCATACGTAAGCAGGTACATCCGCGGCGAAAACCACAAATACTATAAGATAATAACGCAAACGAAACTAAAAGGGGTTCGAAAGGAAATACGAAAAACCAGAAAATATTTGGCAGTAACACGGCTATTATTCGACCAACCCTGTCCCCAGGGCGCTTTTCCCTGGCTTTGGAGGTGGGGCACCCCACCTCCAAAGGCAGGGAAAAGCGCACCCTGGGGACGAGGTTTTTATAACGGTATGTGTAATCAGATAGGGACACGTGAAATTCCCTAGAGAATAATATATATCAGTCACTCGCGTTTTGTCCAATATCTAATAATTTTCTGAGCCCTTTTAATTAACGGCAAGGAAACTATTAGAATTTGCGCAAAACGCGGGAAATTATTGCCTAATTTCACTTATCAATATCGTGGGTGACATATTACGCTTGCAATCTTGGGGTTTTTAATTGTCCGTGGTATCGAGAACTCCACATACTAAAAAGATAAGAGTAAAATTATTAAATTTTGCAATTTCACAAGTGAAATCATAAATTTACGTTGAAAGTTCGCGCCAAAATTAAGAAGTAATTTGTCACCCGTGACATGAAATAAAAACTCTTGAAATCACTTCTTTGGCACTCAGAGCCCGGCCGCTTTTTCCAGATTACGACTAAACAGGGGCGTAGCGTGAGATTTTGTTTGTTTGAAGGCGTACGCACGGGAAGACAATTTAGAGCGTCGAAGTCGCTCCCCCAGAAAATTTCTGAATTTAGGGTATCGGTAATGTCATTTTCTGTGCTCTATGCGGGACATTTTCAATAAATATATACCGAGGAAAATGCAGAAGTTTATTGTTTACCCATCTGTCGCGTTACCGGTATTAACAGTGTTTACGGAAAAAAAGGGTAAAACAGTAACGCCATCAAGTACTGGTTACAAGACGCTAATGTGATGCGAAAAATTTATCCGTGATCCCGATTTGATAAATAATAAAAATGCTTTCATGAAATAATACAAAAAAAATTCTCCAGATTTCGACTGTACGCACGGACCGATGTGCATTTATGGACGCTACGTTCCTGCTATTAGTGTAAATTTGTTTCTGCTAAATCCTTAATAGGAAAGTTTTACGGTTTGTTAGAACAGTTACTCTAATCAAGCACACCGTGTAGTCCCATTAAACTCAGATATATCGGCTCGGTATGTTATTGGAAAATATCGATTATCTCATAGCAGATCCCCGGTCAACCTCTTTAATGATATGCGCCTCCTATTTCTTCCTAGGTGAGGGGGGAGGAGCGTCTGTTCGATATTATGGCCCAGGGGTTTGTTGCTTATTAGAGCGTGGGCACTTATTCGAGAAAATACGGTATCTCGCATACAATCTGCTTTGCAGGACACTTTTACAGGATGGTAAGTAAGACTCAAAAGTTGCTAAGTTTCAATTAACCTAAGATAAGTGTCTGAAGGCCAAAGCAAATTAAAACCTCAAGTTATTTTTCTTTGTATCACATTAAAGTCGGAAAGTTGAAACGATTCAAGAAAAGTTTCATTTGACTTGAAAACCATCCTTAAAACCGACTTTGCGAACTTGCGGTTTTTTGAGCTTTGAGAAAGACGAAGCATGTCAATCAATCTATTGAGTGGGAAAATGGCCTTAATTAAGTTAACCTGAAGTAAAAAAGAATCTTTTGTCTGTGAAGCTTTATTTTACTTGAAATATTCAAAATTTCCTTGTCTTGAAATATTTTAGCTTATCTGTTTTTACAGTGTAATGGGCCCATTGTTTTGAGCACGCGCAAATTTGAGTCAAACGCCAAGGGACTGGAGCTGAATCCTGAAGGCCAGGCAGCTAAGGTAGCTAAGCATGCGTAGTTTGATGTTCGTTTCGCGCCAGATTAGAATTTTTCCGCCATTTCTCAAGACAATGTCGTGATTGTGAAAATCATAACGTACTTTGTCGAATTTTGGTAGTTTTTTGCACTTCTGATTTCAGAAAGGTAAACAGGGAATTAATGTGACGTTTCATCGTGAAAGAATGGCTAAAGTACACATCAATGATGTGACCGTTTGCGAAAATCCTTCGCCTTTCTTGAGCAACTTCCAATTTCAGATTACCTTCGAATGCACCGAGGAACTTGACGAAGGTTTGCTCCATTGAATAAGTTTAACTTTATTTGGCTTATTGAGAGTGTTTTAACCTTGTATGTGTTGGTAAAACTGTTCGTGATTCTGCTTTTGTGTGGCCTATTTAGATTTAGAATGGAAAATTATATATGTTGGCTCTGCCGAAAGCGATGAATACGATCAAGTGCTGGACTCAGTGTTTGTGGGACCAGTTCCAATAGGAAGACACGCGTTTGTTTTTGAGGTATGATATTACTGCCCCTATAACACGATTTCTGTTAAATGGCACAAAATGCACGTGAATATTCTCTTGTTGCATGTTTGTGGTAAATTTGTACATGTACATGTTGTTCAAGTTTCTCATCGACTCCAAAGTTCCAACCATATTTACCGCACACATGTTTTACAAAAGCAAAAGTCTCAATTTGTTAACTCGGGATTGTTGTGTCTTATGGTTAGGACACTTTCCTTGACCAACTTTATACATCTTGTTTTACCAACAGGTGAATGAATGATAAACTATATTTATACACGGTGGTGAAAATTTTGTTAAGGTTTTCTTATAACAATAGGAAATAAATCAAATTTTCTATAACTGATTTACATATTTGCCTTGTGGAAGTACTGATCAGCAAACCAAGAAACATGAAACATGCCAACAGTAAATGCAAATTTTTCTGTCAATCAAATGTCTCCTATTATTTGTAGGTGGAAATTGGAAAGGCATGTTGATTTTTTTGGAAACAATAGAATAACAAAAGATACCAGGAAGATCATGTTATGCAGTCTTAAAGTGTGTTGTGCGACTTTATTCCATTTCCTGCATTAACATGTTGGAATGAAAAGTCTAAATTAAATCTTGATAGTCAAAATAAACGGGGTGCCCAAAAAGGCAAGTATCTGAGAAAGCAAAGGCGACAGTTTTGTCACCAGCAAATTCCACCGAATGAAGGGTTATTAATAAGTATATATGAGTGTAAGTGACGCGTAATAGACATGTTTCGCTGTGGATGTAAACCCAACATTTCTACATTTTTTTTTCTTCTGAAAGCGTTAGTTCACATGAAACATTTTGCTTTCATAAAAATTGTATAAAATGAAGCGAAGCAAGTCAAAAACTAGTAAAGGATATTTCAGTTTGATGGTAAGGATAGATAATTTGCATACCAACAAAAACAACTTGAGCGCAATTCTTTTTTTTTTTGGCATTCCAAACATTTTTACTGGTTTAAATCCTTAGATTATTTTGTTAAGTCAAAATTCCAGTAATTTACAACTTGAGCGATTGCAGTTCCTATTTAAAAGGAGAGTAGCACGAAAGCATCCCGCGATCATCTTGTTAGAAGACAAAGTATCGATGTACTGAAGTTAAATTATCTTTATATCGTGGAAACAATAAGCTAACACTTCACTCAGAGAGTCAAAGGATGCCACATGCGTCGACATTCTTTGTGAGAGCACAAATATAAAGTCATGGGACCCGCTACATTGTATTTCACGGCTGATGCTTAACCTTTTCAATAGGCATCTTTCTGTAATGAAGCATCTAGAGAATTTGCTGTGCGTACATCCTCTCGAAGATTGTTCTATAAGTGGACCACTGTAACAAAAACTATGCTTGAGGAAGTCAGTTCTTGGTTCTGAAAACAAGAACAATATTACTCTCAGCATTGTGAAGGTCATTATTATGACCTGTTGTTTCCTCAAACATAGTTTTAGTCACAGTGGTCCACTTATGGAACAATCTTCCAGAAGATGTATGCACAGCAAATTTGTTTGCCCTGAGAATCTCAATTATTGAGATTCTCAGGGCAAACAAATTACAGGCGGGGCGAGATTATTAGTACACTTGTATGTTAATTTAGCCTTTTGCTTAGCCCTTCTAATAATATTTATTGATATGTTGTCCCAATCAAGCAAGTTAAGAAGTTGTCTGCAACTACATTGTGATTTTGGCAGTGTGATTTTGGAGTTTATATCATTCAGCTGTTGCAACAAGCCATCCAAGACAGCAGTACAGTAATCAAAGTGTGGTTCAATGAGACCTTTTTTGTATATTTTAACTGCAGTGTGTACTTGAGACTCTTTTTGAGATGTCATGTACATATATGTGGGGCTTCCAAGAGAGATCATCTGTATTAACCCTTTAACCGGCAATCGTACATATTTGTACGAAGAGTGACCACTAAAGGTCAGGGCTCTCTTGTTTTCATGAAAATGGTCCCTGTGGCCCCAAATATGGAAGCTTTCCCAGAGGACCTTTCAGTCGTTGTTTTGAGCAAAATTCTTCTCGAATTTGGCTAGTTTTTCGATTGTAAAAAGCGATTTATTCTTCGTTTCGCATTCGCTAGCATTTAAAAATGGCGGCGAGGTATTTAGCTCCCGAGGAAGTGTTGAGAAGAGTCCTGAATGACGATTCTGACGGGGATTATTCTGATGAAAGTGAAGCAGAACTTTCGGAAGAAAATGACAACAATGGCAGATCAGAACACGAGGAAAGTGAAGAAGACGAAAGCGACGAATTGCTTCCTGACGAAGCAAATAGCGAAGAATCTGGTAAGTTTCTTTATCAAATAACGAGTATTAGATTTCATTTCTGTTGTCTACGTGTTTTTACAAGCCTTTGCTAACAGAGAAATCTTAAGTGAAAGATTACCGATTGTGGGTGAGTTTGTTCTGCCCAAAAAGCACATGTTTTAGTAAACTATCATTGTCCAAGTAATAAGGCTGACATGTTTGTTTACATTACAAGTACAGTTCTTTTTATGCTACTTCTGAAGTGCACTGAAAACATGCTCCTGAATATTTCGAGTTCAAAACAAAGCAATTTTCAGTTACATTGGCTCAAGAAAATATTCCATTTTTTTTCATTTTGTTAGACATTTGTGGTAACCGTGACAGAAGTCCTATTCGGCCAGAAAGACAAGCTGGAAGGGGAAGAGGAAGGGGTAGAGGAAGAGGAGCAAGAAGGGGAGCAAGATCCGGTCCAGCAAGACGACGTCAAGACCCCGCTGAGCCAAACATTGACTGGTCTGACCAGTATAGTCCAGTGCAGATCCCTGACTTTGGAGAACCACATCCAGGTCCAACAAGGAGATTTCCGAATGTGAACACTGCTCGCGAACGAGACTTCTTTGATCTGCTATTCACTAATGATATATGGGAAATCTTGGTTCAAGAGACCAATAGGTACTACGATCAGCAGAAGGCAACTGACCCTGGCAAGCATAAAAGACCCTGGGCTCCTGTCACGAGAGATGAAATGGAGGCCTTCATTGGTATTATTATTCTGATGGGAATAGTCAAGTTGCCCCGTTTCGAAATGTATTGGAGCCAGGATAAACTAATCCACCAGGAAAGCATTGCCAACATCATGTCTCAAACAAGATTCCTTCAAATATGGAGATACTTTCATTTAGCTGACAATGCAGTAGCCATCCCTAGGGGTACTGATGGTTTTGACAAAATCTACCGGGTGAGAAATTTCCTTAACATTATACTTATAAATATTCGAGACGAGTATAGACTAGGCATGAATATTGCTATTGACGAGACAATGGTACCCCACAAGGGAAAGTTGGCTTTCAAGCAGTACATAAAAAATAAGCCAACTAAGTGGGGCATCAAGTTGTGGGTCCTGAGCGAGGCAACTACAGGCTATGTTTATAGATTTCAAGTATATCTGGGGAAAGAACATGGCCAGCAACCCGAAAAACACTTAGCTAGAAGAGTGGTACGAGATCTGACAGTAACAGAAACAGGGAAAAATCACCATCTCTATATGGATAATTTTTACACTGACCCACACTTTTTCCTTGAGCTTTTTGACAAGAAGATACTTGCATGTGGAACTGTACGTCAAAACAGGAAACAGTTTCCCAAGGATTTGATTATCACTACTCGAATGCAAAAACAAATGGATCGTGGAGACTATTTGTGGAGAGCTCATATGAGATTAGTAGCAACAGCCTGGAATGACCGAAGGGTTGTTTACCATTTATCTACCATTCATCCTCCAGATCTTGATGGTCAGCCTGCTACTATCAAAAGGAAATCAGCTCGTGGTGGTAATGTTGACATCAATTGTCCTCCAGCTCAGCTTGACTATCAAAAATATATGGGCGGAGTAGATCTTGCAGATCAGCTTATAAAGACATTTAGTGTCATTAGAAAGTCACGAAAAGCCTGGAAGAAGTTGTTTGGCTATGGCCTAGAAGTGTGTCTCCTGGACTCCTTCATTATTATGAAGAAATTGAAGCCCAGCAACACTGAATTTTTAACTTATCGCAAAGAAGTGGCACGACAGCTTATTGCTGGAAGATCATTTCGTGGTAAGGCTGGTCGCCCACCTACTCAGCCACGAGACTGGATGGATCCTACCATGAAATTGCAGTAACTGATGCAAGGAGGGATTGTGTTGTTTGTGCCAAGAGAGCCCAAGTGAGAAATCTCGACAGGAATTATCGATATAAATCTGCCATTGTTTGCACTACCTGTGATGGGAAGGCCTTGTGCCTAAACAAAGACAGAAATTGCTGGGAGAAGTGGCATAGACAAGTTCAATATTGGCAGTAACAGTAACTTCAATTCTGGCAGGAACACTGCACTGAACTGTGCAATTCTGGATAGTTCTTTTCCAAATAATTTTCAAAACATTTTTTTTGTGAATTGTTCACTGATAGGATTTGTACCGGAAGTACAAAAAATGCAATATCTCAGGCTAGGATAGGAATATTTTAGTTCTGTTTGAAGTGTTTTATTCCCTGATAAATGGTTGTTGAACCCAAGTACATTGTGTGATTTAGGTAACAATACTGTACCACAGGCCCCTTGAAGAAAATATTGTTTTGCCCAGGGTGGAATGTAACCAATAAATGCAAATAGCTCATACCCTTTGTGGTATGCCCTATATTTTGTTGTTTTATTGCAAATATGTTACACATTTCCAAAGCTTTACAATGATATATAGTTTATGGGAGGGTAACTTCAATACTTTTTTAGTTATCATTAGAAATAGTGATTGCGGCTGCGCAACTGAAAAATTACCTAAAAAAATCTGCCAGTTAAAGGGTTAAGCCCAGGAGATTTGCTATGAATTGTTTGGTTAACTTGGATGCCATCTACATCAAATTATGTTTATTGTGTAGTCATTGAAAGATTGTAGTTTCTGTCTCAAGCTAGTAATTGTAAGCTCTGTTTTGGTGACATTGAGATTTAAGCCAGAGATCAAAATGTTTCATTTCATTATTGATCTGTGAATCAAGATCAGTTATGGTAGGTACAGAAAAGGTAACGTTAGTGTTGTCCATGTACATTCTAGGAGAACTAGTATTCAAACAGAAGGGTGCTGATTATTGACCCTAGCGATACGCCACAGTTAAGAAGGCTCTCACTAGATAGACAGTTACCCACAATACATCTTTGCATTCGGTTAGTTAGATATGATTGAATCATTTGAAGGCATCGTGGTCAACACCGAATTTAGAGATTTAGTTGATTTACTTTGCTGAGACTGAAGGTCATTAATTAACTGCTAACTTTTACGAGCATCACCTTTGTTTGCGTCTAGTTTTTTAGAAAATTATTTACCCTTGGCTCTCTTTCACTGACAGCAAAATTTATTTCTTGTAGTTGTTGATTACATTGTTTGGTTCAGTTCCCATTGGGACCATGAGAACTTTATAAACCACTCCTTGTGAATTTCACACCACTTGACGATGACCAGTCTACTCCTGGCTGTTTTTTAGTTTTCTTATTTTTGAGGTTTATACGTTTAGGTTTACCTAAAGTATGTTTAATTTGTATTTGTATTTTCGCTTTGCCTTTGTTTAGTTTGTTAATTTTTTGCTGAGCATATCTTGTCAGCACTTACAGCTGTATGATGTATCTTTAATCTAGCTTTTCTTAGTGCTCTGTATCTTTATTTTTTGCATATAAGACTAAGAACCTGCATTTTCCCAAGTCAGCCTAAACATGTTCTTACATAAATGGTAATTAGCACATATTTAGGGTACTTTAGGTTCTTAAATAGGTTCTTATTTTCTGAAGGAAAAGATACATTGAAGCTAAGAGCATTTAGTGGTATGTACCTTAATTCCTTCTATAAAATCTGCAGACCGTTACATTACAGCTGGTGTGATAAGTCTCCTATGTGTTCAAAGAGGATCCTGAATATTGACTTATCTTATTTGCCCAATGGGAAAGAATTTTCTTTATAAAATTTAGAAAATAAGAACCTGTTTTGTATTTCAAGCTAAACAGGTTCTTGTATAGAGGGGGCCCAACTCACAAATTATAACCTAACTGATTCTTAAAAACCAGGTTCTTAGTCATGGGTTTTTACTGTTTAAATTGTTTTTGCTGTAACTGTCACTGGTAGAATAAACTTGATTGCTGGCGGCTCCCTCCATTTACAGTGTATCATTAATGTGTTAAACGTGTTACAATGTGTGAGGTCAGTATAAGAACCCAAGCAATAGAGTTGAGATGAAAGTTAGAAAATCTCTTGCCCTTTTGGCAAGCTGTGTTGCTAAGGTTTACTAGCCTCTGCCTGGAAGAGAACTGCAGGCCTACTGAACCCCTTTTTTACAAACATTTACTTTACATAATAACAAATGCTGTGTTACTATATGACAAATTTCAGTAAAAAACAGGTTAGCCTGTCTCTCCACTAGTTCCGGCTAATGAGCAGCACTTTTATCTCACCCTGAGGCAAGAAACAAAAGGCTGAAAATGAAACCACGAATGGTCTTTCTATTCTCTATAGCTATGCTCAGACAAATAGAAAATATTTCTGTTGTAAGTATGAAGAGACAAAAGTAACTTAATTTTACCCACTGGTGAGACCTGCTTCTTTCAATGCTCTGTTTTCTGATTTTGATACTTCTGTATTTGCAAAGGCCTTCCGTAGATTGTTTATGTAAAGTGACTGTAATCACTAACATAATGCATTTTTAATATATTATTTTAATACTCATCTGTTAGCTTTAATAATTCTTTGTGGCATGCAATAATTCTTGTTTATCAAGCGATGTGCTTTAAATTGAAGAATTTTTATTGACACAACATCTGTAATATAATGCGAATTAATGAAAGAACTTTCTCTTTAGGCAAAATCCCCGGATCCAAGTAAAATCCCGGACGAAGACCTGGTTGGTGTTACTGTGGTTCTTTTAACCTGCTCCTTTAAAGACAGAGAGTTTGTACGGGTTGGATACTATGTAAATAATGAGTATACAGAGGAAGAGATGAGAGAAAATCCCCCTGCAAGACCAGTTATAGAAAAGGTACAACATACAGAATTTATTTGTTTACTGTTAATCTGTTGTCAGTGGGTAAAAAGTTACTGCTTTTGATTCCTTTCCTGTTAATGATTAATGTTTGTGATATTGTTTATATTTGTACTGGTTCCTCAATGAGGATGATTTCCAAGCCACAATATAGCCTGATGCTAGAATCGCTACTCACTCAGGAACACAGTGTATGAATAAACTTTCAGGGCATTTTTGTATTTTTATGGCTCAGTCAGGGGGCCTTGTAAAAGGGAGCTAATCATGGAAGGGAGATGTACATTTAAAAATTCAATGGGCTTTTAATTGGAGACGTGATCATTTTATTCATTGTCGTACATGTAACTTTTTCTCTTGATTGTGTATTGTTAGGAGAAAATTGATCTTGGTCACTCTTGGGACTTGGAAGGTTAATAAAGTAGTTAGTAGTTTGTATTTTACTTTACAGCAGAGCTTTCACTATGGGCTGGAGGCTGGGGATTGCCAGCTCGGACTGTAGTGGATACCTTTAGTACGTCTCCTTTCCTTCACTAATTTACTGTCTTTACTGAGGCTTATTTATTGTTTTTTTTTTCAGCTTCAAAGAAACATTCTTCACTCAAAGCCACGAGTAACAAGATTTAAAATCGACTGGTAGTTGAGACTAATAGTAATTCACTACCTTCTTTCACTTGAAATTTTATTGTAGCTGCATTTATCAGCTAAACACATTGTACTGAATATTATGATCAAGTAGTGTACATTATCATTCATGCAGGTATTTTTTATCTATCGCTTATGAAGGTTGTTTTTGTTTCGTCTTTAAACTGTTGCTCTTCACATGTTTCAGTGCCATTTTGACTACACAGAGTTACAAGGAATATGTTATTTGAATGCTTTTGTATATTTAGACATCAATGATTGCTATAAACATTAGCAACTAAACTTAGGCCTGGTTTAGACACTGAACTTTTCTTGAGCCGAACCTAATTAGAATTAAGGCCGACCCAAATTATTTAGACCGGCTGAATTGATTCAGATGCCGATTTTAAGTGCAGGTGAACTAAGTTCAAATGGTGAAAAATGCTTATTTCGGTCAAACTGCTTACAAAATAATTTATGCATTAGATTCGGTACATGGAAAGTTCGGCATCTGAATCAAAGCCATTCCAAAGTCGCTCCAAAGGCGAAATTCCCAGCCGGGCTAGGCGAAACGAACGGTCCAAATTGAATCAGGCGTTCAAAATTGATTCAGATGCCGAACTTTTCATGTACTTAATTCAATGACTTCAATGTATTAGGTTTGGCTCATGAAAAGTTCGGCGTCTGAACTGGGCCTTAGGAGAGTTGCTAAATTTTCATGTGCTGACCGCCAAAACTATGTCGTATTCAAGATAGTTACGCTATTATTTAATCAGTTTGTGATAATTGGTAATTTTGGTTGGTGTATGTGGAGATGTTTGCCTTGAATGGATTTTAAATAAAAACAGACGACATAATGCTGGTGAAAGCTAGCTATTTCTGTCTCTAGTTCTTCATTATTTGCTTCCTCACTGATGCAGAGAGCTTCCTTTATCAATATACACATTGTGGGTATTTAATTATCCTAATGGAGGAAGTTTTACACAGTATTTACAACCATTTTTGTGTAAGCCTGTCTTAATCAATTAGAAAGTTATGATAGCTAAAATCGTAAAGGCTAAAAAATGGTTGTAAAAACAGTTTTCGTACATTGGAAGCGTTTAAATGAACTTATAGGTTATGGGCTCTTAAGGGTTTGAATTGTACAGTATAAAAATGAATTGATAATTAGTGGTAAAAATGATGAAAAAGGCGCGTAAGTATGCATGTAAATCTAAACGATTTCACAAGGTCGTGTCCATGAGAGCTGACGTAGCAAACACATGAGTGTTCAATTAGTATCTCCTCACCCTAATAAGTTAATTATCATACAAACAAACTATTTTAATAATAATGAATTGCAAAACCGTAAATGATAACTGTTTCAAGCTCAACAAAACTAATATGCTGTCGGATAAAATATCTATCGAGTTTATGAATGAGCAAAATATTATGTCCATCCGTTGATATGTCTAGGGCCGTCTAGAGATCCATATCGCATTTCAGAACTCAAACTCCATGTTCGATGTCACGATTTTCTAAGCGAACCGAGAGAGAGGACTTTTTTGAAAGACTAACTCGATGTTAGAATCCTCATTCAGGGTCATTATGCTGTTATCTTTACTCCATTCTTACTTTAAACTTGACATTGAAAGAGAAACGTATTAAATGGAATGATTTAGCTCCTTGTTGGAGTAATTGTCACGGAGGCGTCGATTAGACAGGGGGCGTTTATAAGGGAGGGGCGTCAAATGCAAGATTAAAAGGGCAAAAGAGGCGTTTATTTGACAGAGGCCGTCTATTGGATCATTTACGGTACTGGACTGGAGGGACATCTAAACCTCTTTCAACCTCCAAATGGCCAAAAAACAATACTGACCACAATAACTGACTCGTAGTACAATTAGACACAACTCCTACCCGGACTAGTGATAAGTCGATCAGTTAGGTGACAATCATACAAAGTCCCACACATTTTAATAGCAGAAGCGATAGCGCCCCCTTCCCCAAAAGCACCATATCGGTCAGTGCAGTTTGAGACAGCACCCAGCGACCCAGTGTTGTGTTCTGTGAACAATAATCTTAGTGGCCTTTTTGATCTTTATTTGAACTCTTTTAAAGAATGCGGAAGCGCTTGGAAGATACTTTACATAGTTTGTGGCGATCAAGCTTTCGCAAAATACCTTTTTTTTCGGAGGACAGAGTACAATTGCGAATACAGTACAGTCGAACCCTGTCTCAGACATCTTTTTTTTAACAGTTGTGTAACACACGTGACTCTTTTCTTTAGGTGTCAGTTTATAAGTCTAGGACACGCGCCAAAATGTCTATTTGTTTTTAGATATCATTTAGCATCCGACGTCGCACAATAGAGTAATAGACCGTTCGAAGGTCTTTTCAACTTTTCAAATGCACCAGATAGGGAAAATCCGTCGACACGCTTCAAAAACAAGCTCCTTAAAAGTAGTAAACTTAACAAAGTTGCAAAGTGATACGTCTTAAACGAGCGAGGCCGTGAACAGGTCCGCAAAGTCGCCTCCACCATACAAACGTCTGTAAAATTTCGCGACTTTCTTCATTAGTTTTCAACAAATCACCTTCAAACTTGGAAATTTTATCAATTTAAAGGCGCTCTTTCCAGCTGAGTCGACGGATTTTCCCAAACTTGTCCATGTCCCAGGTTCCTCTGTTTTCCTCAGTTAACGCCATCATCGATGGTTGCGCGCGCAGCTAAACAGGAAAGGCCCCAAAAAAGAGTAAAAGAAGTAATAATTCTCCTCATAAAACAAGTTTGAAAGAACTTGATGAGGTATTTTGTCTCTGAACTGTAGCTATAAAGGGGATGAAGCACACATAAATAATTCTTTATCAAATGTTGTTTTGTTCATTAGATCGAGGCTCTTGGCAATCTCAACAGAGGTGACGTCATAAGACTAGTCGTTAGTTCTTTCTATTCAGTGGGATCTCTTCATGCGATTCACTTTCGTGATTAGAATCCTCACTGGCTGCCGATGCGCTGGAGTGTCGCCGGCCATTAGGAATCTGCAAAGAAAGGATTGAAAAGAATCATGATGAAATTTTACGGTATTTCAAGATTACCGAAAGGTGAAGAAACACACAGGCAAACTAAAAAATATTGATTGAGTTAAGGTTTTGTGACCTGCCGCTTTTAAATAATACCTGAGCTACCGCCTGGCCAAAACTGGAGTGACTTGATTGACTTTGGCGTTGGTTTGTCACCAGATGCCTGTTCTGCTCATCTGTAGCAACACCTCGCACGCGCACTTTTCCATCTGGAAAGCAACGAGTTATTCAACTTATTCCTAAATGCTGGCAATATGGTTTTTATGAAGTTAACATATGATTCATTTCATATATTTCAATTAAAATTACTTTTCTCAGTTTTTACTTAATTTGCCACCTTGGCCTCGATTCATCTGCAAGTTTCAAAAGAAGACTTTAATTTTACGCTGAAACAAGGCAGGCGAGGCTGGTTGATGGCTAATTATCACGAAGACAAAAGAGTAATTAAATTTGCCCCTATTTTGGAATAAGGTGTTTGAAGCTCTAGTGAAATAACATGAAGATTAACCAGGGATATGTTCATGCTCTGTTCACACGGAGCTGACGACCCAAGTTCATCTTTAACTTTTGTGAGAGGTTCTACCAACCGCCCACGCGCAGGGCGCTACTTAAGCAAATCTCAGCTGAGTTATCAGGTATCCATGCAGCCACGCCTTTGCTGTACAAAAATTGAGACGGTTATGGTTACCGGCTAACAATTTAACCTTGATTTATGGCGTTCAAAGTTTCTGAACGACTAGGCCGGTGCCTTTTGAGCATAGACGATAAAATTGTGCACGCAGGCGATATGATCGTACCTGATACATGAACTACAAAAGTGTTTCTTTTGCTTTCTACAGTTCCCTGTGTCAAAAAAGGAAACAAAAACAGCAAAATATATACGGGTTATCTAATGATTCAGTGAAGATATTTTTAGCTTCAATTCTACATTAAGCGAAAGTCGATCATAATGAGTAAATTAATATGTTACAGCTCATCTGTATATTTTACCAACATCAGAATGGCAAATTCGTAACACAGCCAAGACTAAGTGACAAAAGAAAACAAGACGAATGCTTGTAGAACACTAAGATAATGTTTGATCCTGCCGAAGAATGTCCTTTGAAGACCCTCCATCAAATAAGCGTGTTGGTGCCTAAACTCGTGTGTATATATTATTTGTCATAAGACTACGTGGAAAGTTTTGTTCTTGGTTTAAATTGTCCCTTTAAGGTGACGACTGGAAATGTCACCCAACCCCGCGTGTAGTGCATTAAGTAGAACGCTCTTTTTTGCACAACGTAGGCTTACAACAGTATTGACCATACTTACAACAGAGGAAACTGAACTGCTAAGTGTCTGGTTCTTTGCCTTAAAATTGTCGACCTGGCTTTTCGATTTAGAGGAAGATTCTGACTTGCTGTTGCTATCCGAGGGTTTGGTTAACAAGTAGCGTTTGTCAGGATCAATACAGCATAGCACTCGACGATACTCAAGACGAACCTGAAATGAAAGTGAAAATTCGGTTTTAAGCTGGTGTTCACAAAGTTGCTCTGGGCCTTGAGTAACGCTGAAGGACTTTATTTCGTGAAATACGACCCGTTGCATATCGCAACAGTATTGAACAAGTTCCTAGCTTTCCGATTGGCTTTATTCTTTATGGCATGTGATAAATGCACGTATTAGTATTAAAAATGACAGCCATCTTTTGATACTCACTTTTTCGTCTCCAACGCAGTGGAATAAAAAGATGAATAATCCCTGCAATAAAAGTGATATAAGATTCTCTGGTTTGAAAAGTGGCAGGGAAAGAACGAGTAGTTTGTTATACAGGTTTCACTATTTTTACTTAACATTCTGTCCTTGTCCCCAGCAGAACACCACTTCATTTAAATACTCAGGCTTTCAGGTCTTGTCTAAGAATTATGAAATTTCCCATTCTGCCTTGAGGAATTTCCGTTTTATAAGATAATCAGATTTACCTGAAGAGTGTTGAATATTGTAAAAAAGTAAGCCATGAAAAGTGATTCTTGATTAATATATAAAACACCAAACAGCCACGTAAGACCGAGTATACAGGTCAGCAACATACAGGCTTTCGACCAGCGTCTAATGAATATAAAAATAATAAAATGATGCATCAAGCGTAATATAAAAGGAATAAATAATTAAGTACGGTGGTGATATGGGGGCTTAATGGGTTATAGTTTCCCCATCCGCGACCCTGCCTTTAGACCCGCCACTATATCTCCAGACCGCAAGTATAGCCAGGCCTTCATTCATATACCCCAGCTCGCGTGAACGTCGCCACCTCGAGCACCTGCATGACGTTTTCACGCGCGCTTTGTATTTAGCTCTTTCTCCTTTGACTAATTGTCCTGAGGAAAATGAAAGGCTACTAGTGGTCTAATTTCCTTTATCCGAAACGATTAAAGAAAAGCAAGTAAGCAAACAGAAAAACAACAAACTATTTTTGAAGGAAAGAATTATTTCACTTCACTTTTCCTCTGTAGACTATGAAGTGCTTGCCGAAACTTTCCCTATGTTCTTATGGCTCAAGAATTTCAAATGTCGTTATCATTTTTCCTCGTACTTCCACATTTCTGGTCCTTTTAGCGCAACATATGCATAGCAATGTGCACCAAACGTAGCATCAGCAGAGACAGTAATCAATATTCCCTCCGATGTTATTACTATAGTCTTTACTATTTTTACCTTATTCTGTTTGTTCTCCTTCTGTTATTTGATGGACCTGATGTGGCCATTACTCTAAATGTCATCCCCAAACACATGAAATTGAACTATGAGGGAAAAAACAAAGATAAAATGACGAAACGAGTTTAATAATATGTAGATTTAGCCGAGGCTAAGAGCGAAGCTCCCGTAAACGAAAAAAAAACATTGCAATAAAAAAATCCAATTAGAGTAGAACCTGCGATAAGTCGAAAACTAGAAACTTGCCAGCGGTAAACTTAAAAAACCACGTAACCTCGATGGCTTGGCACCTGAGCTCGCCCGCGATACGGTCATGTGATACTGGTCAGTGAATACTTTGTTTTGACAGCTGTCAATTGACCACAATATGGTTGTGCAATATCAGGTTGCAGGCTCCCACACTAGCTAGGGAGTACAACATTTCACATTGGTTTTCCCGGGTGCGGACGGACGGTCGGGCGGGTGGACGTAGGTCACGTGACAACCAGAATTTCTTGGATGGTTAGGTAACCAAATTTTCTTAGCTATGGGGCGCTGCTCAAGCGCGCTCCTCGCGTGTGGAGCTCCTCTGTGTTTACGCAACAGGTCGCCTATGACTTATGTGTTTTGTGGTGATCTTCAGGCAAGGTAATGTTTTCTGGTCTTTTACAAAAACACCTGTTTTAAGGGGGGTGAAGTTCGGTGGAAAAGTTTTTCAAACAAAATTATTGTCACGCTTTTCATACAAGGTTTGACGTCTTCTTTCCTCTCCCGTCCTGTTGCGTAAGCTCACTTATCAGCTATGATTCTGTACTGATCATTAGTTTTCCCAACATATTCTTGTTATGTCGGTATGCCTCTGTAAGACTGTCTAAGAAGGATACCAGGATTGACACTCTAATTGATAGTCTTCCTCAAATCTGTCATGGTTAATTCCTTGCCTCAAATTGTTGAGAATCCTTTGGTCGGCTTGGCTGCGTGGCCAGCTGGGCATATTGATAGTACTGTTCATTGTCATGTCCCCCATTTTTTCGTAAGATCGTCGAGATCGAGCGCTTTGCGTTACGGGCGGCCATTTTGGTTCCTAATGTTCCGAGTCTAGCCTGGGGCGTTCCCGGCGATCTTGCGGAAAAGTAGGGGACTGTGAACTTTCTAGCATATTGAGTAATTATCATGCGCATGCGCCCATGCACCAGTTTTAAATCCAATTACTCTTGAACAGCCCCGTCTGTGCACTACTGTCATCTTTGCTGACTTACCGCAAGAACCACCAATACTGGTCCAACAAATGACCAAATAAAACCGCGATAGAGAGAAAGCCAACAGCTGAAACAACAAGCGACATTTAGTGCTAACAGAAGCATATAACCATTATATACGTCTGGTGCTAACGAATAGAACATTGAAAATCACCTGATTGAAAATAAAGCCTGATCAGCAACAAAGCAATTGTTATAAAAACCTGCTGCAAAAACGATGTATCAAGCCGAAATACTTAAACTGCAAGTATTTTCGGTAAATTAATGTCAGTGACAACTGGTAGCTAACCTTCATTGCTATCTCACACCCTTTTTTGTTAATATTAACTATATGGGATAAAGCCGTTGATTTTAAGTTCTACTGAGCTAAGAAGTATTGTAAATAAGGCCGTTACTGCCTTACTGGGAAAATACATACTCATGTATATGTGCCGATTTTAAACATTCAAAGGGGACTCTCAATCAGGCTATGTTCTCAGGCTATACTGGATAGCTTCCCTTGCATACACGAAAAGCCATCCGCTGTAGTATAAACAGAAACGGCTCAGAACTGGAACAAGTTATAACCAAAACATTGAAAATAGCACCGGAGCGGTTGGCCGAGCGTGGCAGCCATCTTTGTTTACTCACTTGCGCGCGGTGAGGAGACTGAACACTACAAAATTAAACAGCCAATCAGGAAAAAAGTCTCCTTTGTGGCGTGGAGATGGTTTGGTGAGCCTAAATCCCACGTCCTCACTCCTAAATATTTACTTCCGTCTCAGTGGATTCCAGTCCGCCTCGCTTCTGTTCATTTAGTCTGAAATGTCAGCTGACATTTCAGACTACTATTGATTCACTTCCGCCGAATCCGAATACCTGTTCACACGGCACCAAAATGTCTTTAAACAACTTATATTGAACAGAAGAAATGTATTTTTCACCTAGATAATGTTAAGGCAATAAACTTACTAAAAAGGAGTGCCGTAACCTTGATGAAACATGACTCCTGATGTTACAACTATTACAATTGGTAAACCTGTGTTAACAGAAGTGAAGCGATGAGACAAATGTTTAGCAAATTCAGCTCAAGATTGTATCACCTTGTTAATCAGAATAGACTATAACAGTGAGGTCATTAAATTCCACTACGGAACTCATTGAACTGAGTAGAAATGATACAAGTCAATAGATGTCAATAGACGCAGTTCTATAGCTCATTCTGAAGAGGTTCCATTGAGGTATTATAAGGGAAAAAGGAGCGTGATTCGGGATTTAAATTATGAATGGGATACCGCCGGGATGTAGCAATTTTTAAGATGAGGGATTCGGGAAACGTTGTTTTAAAGAACTGATGAAGAAAAGTGAACTGCTTTATTATGAAAAGGATGTTCGTTCTGAAATGGTAAATATATGTATGCGTATGCGTGACAAGAAAGGATTAAAGAACCCTAAAGTTTACCCTCACTGAAGTAATGCATGGCAATTCATACTTGCCTGACCTTTTTAATTACTCACCCCAGCCAAGGCAAAAGAAAATCTTTTTGCTTCTTGTAGGTGCGGTTTTAGTGTGAAATACTTTCACCAACATCAGATAGAGCATAACTCCCTCTAGTGCCATCCAGGCAAATGATACCAGGAAGAAATAGTGTAATGCTATAGATATGCCTTTACAAGCCAACTAAAATGAAAAGAAAATGAGAAGAAAGAAAAGAAGGGAAAAAGAAGAAATCAAGTTCCATGCTATTTGTTGAAACGTGGTTCGAAAAATGTAATACACTGCAACTGATGTGATCCATGGATAAATCATGAGACATCTTGAGAGGGAAAACAGAAAAGTTTCAGTTGGGGCACGATTTCTTCAGGGCACAAGTTATCTGTAGGTGTTTTTCTTTTGGCAATAGTCTTTGAATTATTGACACTCCACCGAAATTCATGTTGTGGCCTACCTCTCAATAAGCAGACAGTACCTCAAATAAAGGAAAATATTCCCAGTCTGGTTCTACGATGAACGATTCTATGGCAGTAAAATTAATATTATTTTGCAGGATCGGCTAAGTAAACGTCTTTGTTAGAGCCCCAATCTTCAGTTTACATGGATTTAAGAATTCAACTTATTAAACAAAAGACTATACAGAAAAGCAGTATAGCGTACCTTGTTGCCTGTTTTGTTGATACCAAACAAAAATATCACTTGGGCAAAAATCATCGATATTGCCAAATTCTTGTGAACAAACGTACGGCCAGATTTTGAAAACCTGTCAAAATGAAACGCATTTACACGATGAGTTGGCAAAGAAGCCGTATTTTGTATTTTAACGTCACATTATTCATACAATTTCAACCGATGCTCGCCTGATTGGTAGTTGTCATTCACGTTCTTAAAAACGGGACTGAAGGCTAGTTTGACTGAATGAAGGGTAAGGGGTAAATCGTGTTACTGGGATAGAGGCTAAAATCGGTCATCGAGAACTTATGTAAGCTGTTTTGCAGGAAAAGTCGACACACATTTATGCCAATGTACAATGAAAGAATATATATATTTTTTCAATACAGAAGCAGGAGATTGAACATGAAATTGTACGCCGCTGTGTTTTGTTGAGTCGATCGGTATATAAAATTTCTTTGGAACTGGACGGAACTGGCAGCTGTAGCAATGGACGACTTCCTCACTTTCACAAGCTGCAATGGTTCAAGACCTCTCTGGAGTCTTTCATGACCAACAACCGCTGCAATAACGACGGGCTGCATTTGCGAAGTTGTCTCATGTATGCACCTACAGCCGTCGACAGCATGTCAGTGGTAGCTCTGAACTTGGACGCAGGATTAGTTGCTGATTTGTAGCTGATTTGTGAAGCCAGATGGTTTGGGGAAGATTACCGTATTGACATTACCGAATGGTTTGTGGATGCATATGCTGGAAATTAACGATTGTTGCACTTATTTCAAACTTAACATTTAGACTGTGATGTAAGAGTATAGAGTATTAGTATAGACACACTCAGTGATCTTGGTAATTCAACTAATCTGATTGGTTAGCTACCTCGGACTATGACGTTATATTCACCGCGCTAGGCGGTGAATATAAAGCCGAACAAAATCGCTGTCGTGAACTGGGTGTTTTGCCAAAGTTTCAAAGTAAAACCTTTTTGAAAATACACGAAGATCCAAGTACTGATGACTTTGAAGGCAAGAAAAGACTTCATGGTGTTTAAACAACGTGATTTATTGTGGAGTGGTTTACTTTAGCTGACTTTTTGTACGCTCGAAGCTATGTTTACCACTACAGAGGAAAACGAGGTCGCTTTGTCACTGTTTTGTGATTTCGGGATTTTCTCGCAAGACCAATTTTGCCTATAAATAGAAGTTAATTTATGGAGAAGACAGGAAGGCAAATATTTTCGAAAATTGTACGTGCCAGCAAGTTAACACGGCAAAGAACTTTGGAGATAATCAACGCTCACCTTGATCGCAGCCGCTGTTGACAGCATTTGCAAGAAGCGGCGAAGAAAACTTTCTCATTCACGGTGAGTTGACAAAAACAAATAAAGCTCTAGATACTTTTCTTCTCAGAATTGGGTAGTAATTTAAATTTTCGGCGTTTTCTTTTAAACCGTTGATGCTAAAGCTTACAAAACTCGATACAAAAAGATTAAAACTATCATTTGCCATGTTTGAAGATACTGTAAAGATCTAACTTTTGCGCATTCACTGTTTACGGCTTCGTGTTCACGCATGAATTTTCACCCGTCAATCAAACTAATCGTTTTTTAATGGTTTCCTTTGTGATTCTGTTGAGATCACTTCGTGTGAATATACTAAAACAATTATTCACCTCAGGCTCAGTTAATATTGTTGAATAATCCCCTCGACTTCGTCTCGGGGATTATTCAACAATATTAACTTCGCCTTCGGCGAATAATTGTTAAATACTAATCATAACCATCTTTTACTGTTGTACAGGGTTTAAGTTAAGAAGAAGCTAAAAAGCAACTCACCTAAAGAAGTGGAAAGTAAGGAATGCGAGGCACAACGCAACTATTGATATACTAATGCCAATATAAGTAATAAGACTCAAAGCAAGTTGATGCCCTTTCTGGAAACAAAAACAAAAACCACAGTGTTCACTTTAACGATGTTATTGGTGTGAAACGGGGTGGGGACCCTCGACTTAGCAAAATTTCGTATATCTATGATCCACCGATTTATGACATCACATCCGGTTGCAGAGTTGCTGATCTCTTTTCGCGCGAGGCACAAAGATGGACGCCCGATGCTATTTGGTTTCCTGGTTATTTCTACCCACAGGCTAACGGAATTATGTATCTTGAATGCCGAGAATGTTGAGAAGGTATATAGCCGGCCTTTCAAGCCAATTTCATGACCAAACAAAGAAGATTTAGTATTACTTTTTTGTGGGTTAAAATAACGAAGAAACCAAATAGCATCGGGTGTCCATCTTGGTGCTTCGCGCTAAAACAGGGCAGCAACTTTGCAAACTTTGCACCCGGATGTGATGTCATAAATAGGTGAATCATAGATATACGAAACAAGTACCAGGCGCTATTGGAGTCGTGCCCTCCCCCCCCCCCCCGGTATGAAAGAAATGCCATAAATTACAAATACATGGAATCGCACAGACTTGGAATCGCATTTGCTATCTGAAAAGGGATGACATTAAGTAATTATAAATAACTGGAAAATGCCATTTTGCTATCATACATGGATGCTCTTCTAAGATGAAGAAAAGTGAAGTGAAAAATGAAGCCGATCGAAGCTTGCACCAGCATCATTCGCATGACAAGGAAAAAATTCGAGTCGGATAACAGTTCTTAAACCCGACCTTCAGATCCAAAGTCCTATGTCTTTCTCTCAACCACAAGGCCGTCACTGATTTTGTAGAAGAAGAATATGGAGTGCCACACGAGAAAAAGTTTTGAATTTTATTGATGAAATGAAAAAGAGGTTTAAATTTATGGCAAGCCGGCTGCCCTAAATACTGAAAATTACTTACTGATATTTGAGAGATATCCTCTTTGACGCTCATTAACACAGCGAAGCTCGTCAGATGATAACAGTGACAAACAGTGTAACTTATATTTGTTGAATTAACATGACACCCAGCCTCGGACCAACTTCCATTTCTAAAACCATAAAAAAAGGGAATCAAAAAACGTAGATCAGATTCTAGATTTTATCACTGACCGAATAGAGAGGAATCAAACTACAAAACGGTTAGAGCGTGGTTTGTTTTGTTGCAACTAAAAATGAGAAAACTTCATGGAGAATATTTCTATTTTAACGAACCCAGGCAGTTCACTAGAACAACATTGTTGCAGTAGACTTTGAAATTTCTTCTATTGCGTTTTTCTTCACACTAATTCAAAGTAGATTCAAAGTAGAGCCATAAAACTATGTGTCTCTTAAGTTTCTTTTAAATTTGTGATATCCCGCACAGGAATTCGAAGACAGTTAAAATGAAAAGAGTGTCAGGGCAGAACTCCAAAATTAATTCATGAGAGGTATTTTTTTGGCTTGAAAGATATGTTTGAAACTTTAAAAACAATTTATTTACTTGTCAACCTCCAGAAAAACACAGGATGGTTTTCTTCTTATCTTCTTGCTGACCTGAAGTTAACAAAGATTAGTTTAAATAACTATTTGAATAACCTGAAAAGGCTTTTTTCTCGCTAATAGCGTGCGAAAGGAGCCTCTGCCGACGACCGTCTAACATTCTATCGTGCATGCAAGAGTTTCCTTATGCGATTCGTAAGCGTAATGACGCGCACTATCGAGCTTTTCGTCCAGCGCTCACTGAAACCGATTTGCTTTTGTTTCTTTTGACGTAATGGCCGTGGATTCAGGCTGAAGTTGCTGCAGTATTTACTTCGCAACTTCTTAGTTTATGCTTTTGTAATAAGTCGCTGAAAAATGCGAGCTTAACTTGTCTTACAAAGCAAATGCACCGGGTATAGCCAAATCAGCCTAATTTCAAATAAGTGTCCATAAAAACTGAACAGTGATTTCTGTGGTCTGCCAATACTAACACAAGTTGTGACTAAGTGGCCGGAAAAATCGGTCAGCTAGAGTAACCAGGAGTCACACGCTGGAGTAAATGGTTCATTAATTGTATGGCACTTAGTTGAAACCGCTCTGTTTTTCAGTGTTACCATCTGGTACCCTATTGTTTAATAAATAGATCGCGAGATAGACATACCACAGTGTGACGTAACGTTATTATCACGGGATCTTTAAACGTGTTTGCGGTAAGTGGGCGAAGATTTAAAGATACAACAGCCGAGTTTATAGACGGTACTTCTTCTTCTTGCTCATTTACTCTGTTAGAAAAGAGAAAATATGGGTTATTCTTAAAGTTGTCGTGATTTAGTTTTGTCTTCTAAGTGATTCACACGTTGAATAACGACTTTGTTAACACTGGAGGGAAAAGCCAACATTAAGCACCATTAGTACCCCCTTATTCTTTTGAATGGTTAAGCTATGGTTAGAGGGCTGTCTACAATGCTGTAGTTTGTAAGAGAAGATATGTAAACTTTTTACGCGCCATTGAAACTCTTTCAATTTGCATGTCTATATCATAGTACATGTACATCAAGTTAAAGATAAGCTTGATAGAAATATGAAGAATCAACTCAGTTGTTCTAAAACATTAAAATATGATGTTTCAAAGCAGACAATACCTGTTTTTGCCTCTCGGCGTCAGCAAGGGACCCAGCGTTTTATACGACACAAAGGTGGCAAAACCAGGTTTGGAACCTACAAGTCATTATTTCATGTCACGAAAACAATAAATAGGTTAAAAGAAACCTTTTGTTTTAATAGCTGAAGGCTAGTTAAAGGGTAGCAAATCGTTTTTTATTTTAGGAATGATCTTTTTACCGTAACTAGTCTGAAATCATATTAAGTGGCTATCAGACCAGCCAAGCAGGGCTTTATTGGTACATATTGGTTGTTCGCTGCTTTATTCTCAATCCAGTAAGGGCAAAATACTCAACAAATGTTTATACGGCGAGGCTCCGCCCCGAGGTCTAACCCCTTACCCATTTATGTGCCATTTTTCACGGAAAAGGTACCCCTTTCATATACCTTCTTTTGACAAATGGTACGCCTTACACATACCTCGTTTAGAACTTTGTATCCCTTTTAACTGTTGTAATTGCAAAGTCACAAAACTTTTTCTCGACTTTTTAAAGCCATAAATTCATCTGTTAGTCCTTTTGGGCCCTTTCACAGACCCAAATGACATTTCCCTACCTTTTTGTAGACTTCAATTAGTGAAACCCCTACCCTTTGATAAACCTGAAGCCTGAAAAAAATACCCCTTTCGGGCGGAGCCTCCCTGTATAGGCCATCATAGGGAATTCCCCCCCCCAGGGAAATTAACTCAGTTACTTATAGAGTTGATTATAAAGGCCATGAGCCATAGAGAGATGGGCATCAGTCAACTCCTTAAGGTAGCTCCCATACAAAGCCGACACACAGTGTCTCCTCTCCGTTGGCCTTTTTTTTGATAGTGCCGTAGTAGTAATCATACTTAAATCTAGTAATAGTAATTTCAGCTCTTACCAGTTGAAGAATTTTGTTTCAATACAGAAGCTGGAAAAGACACTGCATTGGCAGTGGAATTGTCCTCCTCATCCTGTTGTTCCATAACGAGACTTTTTGAACCTCTGATATTATCCAGAGATGTCACAGTCATTACTAGAAGGATAAATTAGAATGTAATTATCAACTTTGGGTCTAATGGAAGGCTTTTCTTTTATACAGTTTTGTACTAATTTTGGAAAATTCTTATTGTTATCAAATAAAAAGTTGAAGATTAATAATTGACTGAGGTTGCTCAACTGATAATTTCAAGGCCTATAAAAGTCTTATCAAAAATTGAAGAAAAAGCACTGGTGTACCAGTTCAGTTCCTTTCAAGCGACTATCGCTGGGTTTCAAAAAATAGTCTGTCACTAGAGAGCAAAACGGATGGACCTAGTAGGCAGATAATTTTAAAGGGAACCTCCACTTCAACAAACAGATAACTTTAAATCACAGGAAATAACTGTTACAGTCAAGTCAATCTAAAATATTTTTAAAGAAAGCGTTTGTATCCGAAAGAAATAACTTTTAGATTCGCCTATTTTTGTTTTCAAATTTTGCGGGCGTCGCCATCTTGAATAATTGTGACGTGTAATGGTTGCCCTATTGTTATTAAACAAAAGCTCTTTGTGTCAGAACAATAGAGCAACCGTAACACGTCACAATTATTCAAGATGGCGGCGCCCGCGAAATTTGAAAGTGAAAATAAGCGATTTTAAAATTCACTTTTCCTGATATAAACACTTTTTTTAGGACAAATTTCGAACAAATTTGTTTATCAACATAATTTTATTCGATTTAAACTTATTCTGTAGTAAGAGTGGAGGTTCCCTTTAAGGGCGCGTACTCAATATTTAGGGAATACCTACCAACATTTTCCATCTCAGTCACATTTGTCTGCGAGGAATTGGCCATGTCTAATGCCAGTACATCAAGACTGTCAATAAGTGAACTTGCTTGCGTTGTCTGAGATTCCTTTACATGAAACACGGCAACATTAGATCATTAAGTAAATAATACAAACTGTTTTTAGCCCAGTAAAGAAAATTCTCTCAAGCAGATCAAAAAAGACTTAGACAACCAGCAAACCAATCAAACCACTCTGCCCTGAAATGGGTACATTAAATGCCATTCGCTGGAAAATAGCTGGTTAGGTTTGAAAATAGAGGCAGATTTATTGAGATAGCGTAGCTTTTCAAACCTCAATTTTCAACTTTTCTAGTTCAAGTGTTAATTAGAAAAAAATGCGTTTGGCATATCAGGTATAAGGTAGCAACGTAGGTGATTGTCTTCTCACCTTCGACATGTAATTCCAAGTCTGAAGATTTTTCTCATCTAGAATATTGCTCACAGTCCCCACAACATCCTGAAAAAGGAAAGGAAAAGGAAGAATAACAACACGCGATGGATTTGTTTAGGTTTATTAGAATAATAGAATAGAATAAAATACATTGAATAACATGACAAACTACCTTTAGAAACGTCTGTGACGTATCTTGGGTGCTCCCGTTTTTGCTAGTCCCAGGTCCCCTCTGTGTTAACACTCCAATGACATTTACTAGAAGTTTTAGATCTCCTGCGTACAATGGTTTCCCGTTCTTGACATCCGTGAGATTTGAAAGCTGATTGGCCAGTGAAGCAAGACTGACGTTTGAATTATCCAGCTGAAAGGGACAGATGTACAAGGAAGGGTTATGCGGAGTATGGAAAACGAAAGGTGAAATACTTATGAAATACGAAATCAGTTTTCTAAATATTCGACTTTGCCAGTAGCTTTTCGGTTATCCGGAAAGTTGATATACCACGTGAATCATAAGGGACAATTTGCGAGTTTTAGGTCATAATTTATGACCTGATGCAATGCTTCCATCTTGATTGAGCCAATCATCCCATCTGGATAGCACAAAGCAAACTTATTGGCTGCCCTATCGAGTTTAAATTCAGATCAACAATAATTTTTTTTTGGGGGGTGGGAGGGTAGGAGTGGTGTTCTTCCTTTTTCGCTACAAAGGCATCAACTCATCAGTGCTAACCCAGTGCTTACCATTTTTTTGATATCATACATCCATTTTGAAATACAATTGCTTAGGTCAGGTAACTGCCAGACCGGTGGATTTCCTGAGCAGAGTCTCATAGCCGTGCCTAATACAAACAAAAAATAACGTGACAAAGTAAGTACTTGATGATCAGTGAAATAGAGAGACAGTGAACATCAGACACTAAAGCGTTTTGCATCGATTTACCGCTACCTATGCCTCTCATCTCGAGATTGGTTCGCTAAATTTCAGAGCGACATGCTGCAAAACTGATGGCCAAATGATGAAAGAGAACTATTACTTGGCGCAACAAAGAGTCTCTCCATGCCGTCGTATGTGTAGCTGGTACGGAATCAACGTTTTAAAAAACCATCGATTAAATCGTTTACCCGTTGACGTAAAGCCACACGTTTAAAAACGTTTCCTTTAAATAAATAAACAAATGAGTACAAGAGTGGAGGAGTTCTACAGTACAAAATACAAAAATACAAAAATAAGAAAAAAGTAAATAAGTAAAGCTGCAAAAAAAAAGTAATAAAAAATAAATAAATAATAACAGTTGTAATAATAAAATAAGATATTCTTAAAGATCAAAACTGTTAGTTGAACACAATATATATTTTTAAAAGCCGTTAGTAGTAAGCAGTACTGAATGAGGAAACAATGTAAATACAAGAAAGCCGTCTCAAGAGTATACAGGTCACTTGGGAACAAATATAAATCTGCAAGCTAAGAATTAACATTGAGGAGTGGGACCAAAGGATTCCAGTTATTTTACAAAGAGACTTGTTTGTAGGATTCAATTTTATATTGGAACATGAAGGGCCTTCAAAAACATTTTTAGCTGATGGGTCTTGTTATTGATTCTACAACCCCAGATACAGTGTCTGGCTAGTACAAAGCAAAAGTTTAAATGAAGAGAAATTTAGAGCTATCGGACTCTAGGCCCAAAAACTGCGATATCTTCAGAAGCACCCAACGAGGATATATTTCAAAACCACTTAACATAGTATTGTTGAACGTATTTTAGTACTCAAACGGTAGATACAGGCATATTTTTATCCCCTAAAAACTTTTCATCTGTTCGGATTTCCTAACTGAAAGTCTAGTGATCCGAAAATTATAGGGATAAAAACTTACCTTCTCGAAAATTTCAGCCAGGAAAAGGCTCCCGAAAATTCTAGGTGGCCTTTTTTAGGCTCAAAATCCGTTAAAAATGGGTAATTACACCATTTTGTAGTTGTTCGAAAATCCTAGGAGAGGCAGGCAAGCAAGAAATTTTACAACAAATGCTCCGAAAATTCTAGATCTCAAATCGTCTTTCGAACAGATATTTTCCCGAAAATTGCCGTTGGGTGCCCCTGATATCTTTCGAGTAGTCTCCCGGAGTAAAATCGCAATCATCAAGATTATCAGTCAAGTTTACCAAAAACGTTTGCTAACACATTTGAAGGATGCTAGAAAAGATGAACGAGATTTTCCGCAGTGTTACGGCAGAAGGAGCAGTTTGGGTCTTGCTTGATACCGATCTTTGTTAGAAACGAGTTTGTGGGAAGTATTCTGTTCAGAAATCGGTATTGAAAATTAATGAGTGTCGTGCTTTTAGTGCACCCGCAGGATGACAAGGAATAAACTGCATTCCAAACTGCAACACAACCCTCCTGAGAGACCATATCTTTCATATCTTGCAAACAAAATGGTTCTTTTAAACTAACAAAGTGTGCTATACCATCCAAGTTAAGCGAAAACTCTGCCCTAGTCCTTCTTTTTCCGCGAATATTTTTCAAGGGGATTACCTAGTATGTTAGCTGACCTGACTGATGTTTAGGGGTGTTGTGTTCCCTCCCCGTAACGCTCGTTAATAGTAACATGATGATTAGGTACGTTTTTAAGTAATGTTTCATAGCTGTTAATCAACTTATTTTTGGAATACGTTTCGTTACCCAAAGTTCCTGGTGGACAAGTCGTGACTGCCTGGCGCTTCGTCAAAGTCTGATGCCATTCGATGCCAGCAAGACTCTCGGTCGGGCAGAAATCATCGTCTTTCGCTCCTTCAGGAACCTCTGTACAGTATGCAATATTTTAAAATTTTGACGTTTTAGTCACATTTTTGTTTGTTTATTTCATTTACTCTAAAACGATGTGTAGACGTTTCTCTTTCATAACGTCCTTTCTTGTGATATTACACGAATAATTAAGACAATTATTATGAAAATTTAGGACGGAGTCCATCAGGAAATTGAGTAATTTTAATTTTCAGTGGACAAAAACCTTGTATCTGGATAATTTAAACAATGTCCCATCCTTTTTTGCATTTTTCAAGAGCTATGGATGTATTTAGTTAATTGTAATAACACCAAAGAAAATTTCTTATGAGAGCCCGAGAAAATAAAATGTCAAATTTCACAAAATGACATGTTACAAATGAAATTTTCAGAATATTACCTGTTTTTCACAATTCCTGTGAAATTTGAAATATATTTTCTCGGGCTCCCGTAAGAAATTGTCTTTGAGGTTGTTACAGATAACTAACCGTGCTCATGGCCCCTGGGAATCCCATAATACTTCTAAATCTAATAAATTCAATATGGCCGCTGCCGTAAAATGATCTATTTTAAATGTACAGCCCTTGAAAAGTGTAAAAAAGAATGCAATATGGCTTAAAATATTCTTGTACAAGGTTTTTGTTTACTGAAAATTAAAATCACTCAATTTCTTAATGCATTCCGTCTTAAATTACTACAAGAATTGAATATGTATTATCAGGATAGGCGGCTCCTGGGGTCAATTTAATAAAACTTTTACACGTGTAATAAGTGTAGCCATTGTTTTGGCGTCTGAGAACAATAGCTACAATGGTATTTATTAAATTACACGTGTAAAAGTTTCATTAAATTGACCCCTAGTATAATGTGTGTATGACATGAATAATTCAATACACATAATCGAAGATCCAAAAAAAGAGGGAAAATTATTTATCAGAAACTTGGTTGTGGTAATAAGGTTGATTCCAACATTTTCTCTCATCTTGTAATAAGCTGTTTCAGTTTTTATCAATTTTATTTTTGCTGTTTTTGACACTTTAAAGAGTAAATAATTCTGACCAACAAGTGACCTACCTTCGCAGTTTTTGCCGTCTCCCATAAAGCCCATTTTGCATTTACAAATATACGAGCCTCTTGTGTTGCTACAAATAGCGTTTTCGTTACAATCGTGGGAATTGTCTGAGCACTCATCGCGATCTAAAGAAAGTTTGAATAAAGAACAGTTGTCCCGAAAAACACTCTTTGTTCTTCACATGATTTATTATTGATTGCATTTTCTTTGACGAAAGCAGATCCGTCATGTGTTCGGATACTATAAGAGCAGCAGTATATAATCAACTTTAAATTATTATAATTAATGAATTACGAAGAATTAAGAAACTGAATTGAACATAAGGTATATCGAAGCCATAGCGATTTCACTTGAAACAAGACAGTTGATATTGCCTTTTATTAAAAACTGAATCGTTGGATATATGAGCCATTATAGTCATTTTACTATGCTCTCCAAATATAGTTTCATTGTTGTGAAGGCCGTAAGTTAGATAACTCATTGGGTTATTACGTCACCTTCGTTAAATAAAGAATATTGTATCGTATTGTATTGTAGTTACGGTACGTGTCTACTCAAAATTAAAAACACAAGCTGAAAATCGGTTGTTCTTACAAACAAGTCGGGAAGAATTCTCGATATTTTGAGAGCGTTTTTAATAAAACAATTATCCCACTCGTGCTTGTTGGATATGAGATGATTTTATCTACCATCTCATATCCAACGCGCACTTTTGGAATAACTGTTAATTTTATTTCTTGTTCTGTTACCTAGCGTTCTGAAATGTATATCTGGATTCAAAGGCGGACCATAACCGAGTTTGTTCCATGCCTGGAGGCTTACTAAATAATAAGTCATCTGTTTTAGGCCATCAATTCGGGCATGCGTCTTCGTGGTTGTGATGGTCTTCACCTTCTCTTTGTTTGTTGAGACGATCAGGCGATAAGAATCAGCGAAGTCGATGGCTGTTCCGTTAAAGGGCGAGATCCACTTTAAAATTAAGTGAGACCAACCCACAGATACAATGACGACATCTCTTGGAGACTCTAGGGATTCGAATAGTAAATACAAACCATACGTTATTGAGATATTTTAAATGGTGGGTTTCTTTAAATTATAGGTCATGTTTAGATGTACTGAAATAGCGAATGGATGTCATAAAGACGTGACCTATACTAAGACATTTCCTTAACACATTCAGGATCGTCTGCTTAAACAGGATACTTATCGCCGACGACTTGAAAGTTATCCCACAGGGTCCCATCCCAAATAGACAGAGTGTGCATTTTTGGTACCTTTATTAAGACTTGTGAGAATAAAACACATTAAAACACATTAAGGGCATCAGTTACTTCCTTCTTTCCTAACTTACATACTCACTTACTTATTCCTTTACTTACTTATTTACTTACTTACTTGCTTAACCCATTCGCCCCTGAACCGCCCGTAACCGCCCGTGCCGATCCAGGTCGATCCCTTTGTGACGTCATCAGTTTTAACGGGCAAGGACAACTTTCTTCGCTAACTTATGGAGAGTGAAGAGATCTTTCAAACCATACCAGAGGGAGCACAATTCAGTCAAGGACACCGGAGAAAGAAGCAAAAAACCACGTGACATTGACCTGAAAATCTCCATGAAAATCTTGTTCCATTGCCCACCTACCTTTCCTTTCACCTAATCCTAAGATCCTAAAAGCTTTCCTAAAAACTCTTCCCACCAAAATGAAGCCTACTAAATGCCTAGCAAGAGAAAAAAAATGAGGCAAGAAAAGCGAAAAAAGAAGGGAGGAGAGAAAGCGAAAAATAAAAGTCAAGACTGCTGTGTCACTTTTAAACCCAAACACTCGAAATTTTGCTTTCTGCGCATGCCCGAACTTCGCAAGCTGTTATTTTGTATCTGGATCAGAAGGCCGCGAAGTGTACGACCTGTAAACCGGTTTGTGGTAAGTTTTAGCTCTTTATAGCACGACAGTGACCAGAAAACCACTCGACTAGCTTGAAAACGCGTTTTTCGGCAAAATCTCCAGGAGCGAGTGGGTTAATTACTTATCAATAGATCTGGAATGGAAGTTGCATTAACAATTTATACTTACGGGCTTAAAAAGAGTTTATTTGGGAGAACCTTGGTTATTCGACGACACGCACTCAGTGTCATAGGTAACCCAAGCTCAGAATATAATGACGTATTTCACTTAAAACTAAGACAAAAAATTTTCTTTCATTTACACACCAACAATATTAACGAGAGGTATTTCTTCTACCACGAACGCGAACACTTCAAAATTAAGATTGCCGCTAGGAAGGCCTCCTTTAGGAAAGTAATCACACGTGGTTGCATTGCCAGCGTACACTTCTTTAATATGTTCCACTCCTTCATGGCTTTTCCACTTTGCAAACGTTCGGTATGAAAACTTCTGGTATTTATTCCTTGGCTTTTTCCATGTTATGGTCAAGAATGTAGAGCTTTTTAACTCTAGAAAGGTTTCGGTAACTGATGCTCTATCTGCAACGTGAAATATTGACTTGTGTTAATTGCTTAAAAAATCCAAATATCGACATTCCATTTATTGCCCAACAAAACGTACTAAGGAAAAAGAGAGATTACTATAATTGATCACATGATATAAATAATAGGAAGAAATGTCTTTAAAAGCGTCAAACAGAAAAAATTTAAAACTCAAAAATAAATTAAATCCAATTAATTATTTTAAACAAGAAATTAGCATGTAACAACTTCCTTACCATCATAATCTGTTTTTGCTGTTACTGAGGCGGGGTTGCTGTCATTAAATCGCTTATCACCGTAACTTGAAACTTGTACTATGTAACTTGTATTCATTTGTAGTTCTGTGAGGAGAAACGATGTTACAGCACCCACTTTGGCAATGTAGAGATTTTCAAGAGAGCTTACAACACTGTACGTTATCTGAAATGTTTAAAATAATATACAGCTCACTATTTAGTTTAACTGAGCTACAGAAAATAAGAATCAACAAGTCTGTAAGTATTTAGATCGAAGGTGAATACTTGCTTGGCTTAAAAGGGACACCTTTTTCGTAAATAGCTTTCTTCCTTGACAAAAAGCTCATATCTTTTCTTACATTAACTGGCATGAGTTTCGCAAAACACAATTTAGCAACCCAAGCAAGGGCAAATGCGTACACAGAGAAAGAAGCAATCGTATCAAACTCTGGATAAGCTAAGCACGCGTTTAATGACATAGCCAAAAACCAATAAAAGCCCTATTGCTGAATTTAATTAGGTTTCCTAATCGTTTAGATTGTTTATAAGCTATGAAATTGTTTAACCAAAGAAAGAGGGCTGTCTTAAGAATATCCTAGAAAGATAAATTTTAAAATAAATAAATAATTAAATAAATAAAAACATCGATAAATCTTGCTCACCTTGTACCCTTTTACATCTTTTAAACTACCTGGAGGTGGAAGCCACTTGATCATGATTGCACTAGATGACGTCTTTTCCACACTTATGTTCAAGGGCGGGTTCAAAACTAATCCAGAAAAAAAGTGCCAATCACTTTTACGGCTATTTTAAAAAACGTTGTCTTCAAGCCAAGACCGCAAGGTAATGTGGGTTGTTGCAAATCCGTCTTTTGCTGGCAAACCGATCGCTCCACTAAACTGGTCGCTGATTTGTATTCGTCGTTTACACTAAACCACACTTATCATTTTAGTTTTTAAAAAGCACAAGGCAAAATTACGTTTCAGTCGAAGTGCACTGTTGCTTATTCCCATCTTTGAAAGCAATTTTGTTCGGCTAATTAGCAAGGAAAAATGACTTTAAATTTTTCATTTTATCAATTTGCATAACGTATTAACATAGTGGGCGAAAACAAATATTATAAGCAAACTTTTTTTCCGAATAATGGTTCCCACTCAAGAAATTAATTAAAACTCGTCAAAGTCTACTCCAGGTAATATTCTGCACTACACCAGCATGTGAGAATGTATGGACAACCACATCGCCTTCCACCTCGTTCAATTTTTTAAATGATGGCGATTCCTATGGAAAAAAAATTCTAAACTGGGATTAGTTAAAAAAAAAATAGAAAAGAAAATTGGAGTCTGCTGTTTACTTCCTCTCTAAAAGATGAGACATTTCAAGCAGTAGCCGTGCAACAACGGCCACGGACAAAAAGCGTGATGCACGTACAAATTTTGTCGCTATTGTATTTGCTTAAGCTCCCTACTGTTTGAAGGCCCTCCAACCACCTCTGTTTTAAGAGTTGTCCAACGGAATACTCTCACGGCTTACAGAAAGACGTTCCATTCTGTTCTCAGGGCCATTGAGTGGCCGCAAAACTCCTATAGGACCTTCAGCTGGTCATTATAAAAATCCCATATTACCTTTCGGTCTTGGCACTTTTTGCTTTTCTTCCGACAACGTCTTTTGAAACAGCTGTATACAGCTGTATATAAACATATCAAAGTACCTTCAGTTTCCGTCCTGCAGTCAATCACGCTGCTAGTTTTTCCAGAGCCGAACCGGAACATATTTTGGACATACAATTTATACGTAGATCCTGGATCTGCAAGATAAAGTTGTATTTCTGTTAATTAATACCACACAGATGACCCAAGCTCAACAAACCACGTGATTAGTCGCGGCGCCTTAATTTAAAGGTGTAGAAGAAGAAGAAGAAGAAGAAGAAGAAGAAGAGCAAATGCATACTTATTTAATAATTTTTTTTTCACCTTATTGATCTGACTTTTTCCCTAGCCTAACTGTAAATATTCAATAAACTTACAAGCTGCTACTCGTTTAGTTATGTAAGTTATCCTGCAATTTAAAGATACTCCAATGTACTTACCCAGGTTACTAAGATTATAAAACGTAACTCCGCTTTCCACCGATATTTTCGACCAATTGAAAATCTCGCTCCAGTGCCACACATTGTACCCTGTTAATATATCATAAGTCATCGGTGGTGGCCTCCAACTGACTGTAAGCCATCTCTTAGAACTTTGACAAGTGATGTTGATCTGAGGTGCCTCTGTTAACGAAAGCAAGATTTATCCATTTCTATTTGATTTCATTTCATATTGTCTCTCTCCACGAGAGTGCGTAAATAGGTTTGTGCTAGAGGTAATCTGTCATTGGTCTGTCATGTCTTAGTAGGGGCAGAAGAAGAAAAATATTTCCTAAGTTTTGGGAGCCCATATCTGTTGCCCTTGTGTAAAACAGCCCACCTTGATTATCATTACTTCCTTTTTTTTCTTGAATTGTGACAGGATTTACTTTGACCCAACACTAAAGTGCATGGGAGATGTTTTTGGAAACACTAAACTGCAGATAAAAACTTTTACTAAATGCCTTGACTTGCAAAGTAATAAATAGACCAGGAGTCAATGTACGTAGAATGTTCATTCTGAGGGCAATTCTAAGATAAGGCCCTTATTTATCAATAGCAAACTGACCTAATTTATGGTGACAAATCTGGTCCCATTCGGCTTGTTCTATCTTCCTGTACAGCACGGCCAGATCTTCATAAGACGCCTTGGAGCCTGCATTAGGGTAATTGTTTTGTGCGCCAGACAGACTCAGATGGTGTTCCAGAATATTTGATCCGTTGCCTCTTATTGGTGTTTGAAGTTTACTCTCCCAAATCAACGCCATTTGACGACAGTTTTGAAACAGCGCCAAACCTGAACTGGCATCCCAAGTGAAAGCCACGTGGGACCAAGTTTTCGGTTTTAACGTAAGGTTTCCTGACCATTCTCGTTGACCATCATTCACTCTCAAAACAATAGAGTCCTTTGCTCTTTTATCAGATTCTTTGTATATTGTGAAGCCCTTTGAATAGGTAAGATGGCTCGATGTACCCACGAAGTATGTCCAGTTTTTATTCTGGGCATATTGCAACCAAAGGAAAACAGTCAGAGCTGGTTGACATCGCGCAGGCTCCACTAAACATGAATCAGTGAAGTTTCCCAGATCTATCCAGGCCTTACCGTCTGTATGAAGAAAGCCATATCCAGGCCCCTTGTAGTAAATGTTTTTCGTTTGACCGTATTTGACTCCAGTAACATTGGTTTTGCTATCGACAATGCCTGACTCTCGATTAAAAGGCCAGTAGTGGGCAGCTGAATTAAATATAACCTGAGAATATACTGAGAAAAAGAAAAGCACAAAGGGATGATTCACCTATCTCTAGATACGTAACCCTCCTAGTTACGTTTCTACATGTATCAAGAAACGTGATAAAAATTTGATTCGCTTACCAATTACCTCCTACACCCGTCAGTTTCACCTGATTTCCGAGTTATTTGTGAAATTGGCGAAAGATGTGCACGCATATCAGTCTAGCAAACTGGAAGGCCAACTCACTTTTTACAAGTCTTAGCTTCTTACAACAATTGATACATTCTGGCGAAGACATAGCTTTGTTGTCTTGTACTTCTGTTCACCTGTTTGTTTTGCGAGTAATGAAAAAGAGACATCGTGCGTGTGCGTGTGTTTTTTTTTTCTAAAAATTTAGAGTAAAAGTTAATCATGTCTATCAGTTTCAAAGCTTGGTGTTCTGCGATTAGTGTGTGTACGTTTAAAGAAAAGGCATGGAAGAATTTTTCCATTATATTTTCATCTACATCGAAGCATACAAAGAGGAGTTGTTCATGTAACGACAGACTGATTACTGCAGCGGGTGGGGTGGTGGAGGTAAATAATCAGAGGAAAATAATATTTGTTCACTTAATATACACCTTCTTTCACTTGTCCTTTTAGGGACTTGATTTTTCACAGCAACACAAGTTTATATTAGATCCTTTTTTTCGAAACATATTGTCGTTGTAAAATTGTTAGAGTATTCGTTTTTCAATAGCATTTCAAACGGAAAAAAAACATGATTCTTGGAGCTCTGACACTTCGCGATTTCCCAGTTACAATGCAAGACCAGTAGCCGGATAATAGTACTAAGGGATGTGGCATAAAGCCAGACGCGATAAATGCCTCCGTTGACATCTGCTTATAAATAAATGGATAAATGACGACAGAAATGATCCCAAAGTGAAACTTAAAGATCCAGAGCTTTTAAAATATCGATTGAAAGGTACTTTAATGACGTTTTCACATTCTCAGTGTTGAAAACGCGAGATTGAAACGGTGGGAACGCTAATTAAGTTCCGCGGAAGACTTTTGAAATATTTTGATGCTGTCTGCAGTCCCATGAAGTTACAACATGCGAAATCGTTTACAACAAGAACATTCCAAGCATAAGCTGTCGAGATCGTTCATATAACTGTAATGTTTGTTTCCACACATGTTAATCCTGAGCCGTTTGGAAGCATACATTCCTTCTTTGCAGAGTGACTAATTTCACGGATAGCTAAATGTGAATTCAGATGGACTGCGAAAAGGGGTTAGACGGTTGAGGCTGGATTCAGTTTACGGAAACTGAGCACTTGTAACCGAAAATATCAAAATTATAGACCTTACTTGTTACTCTGGATGTTATATTACATAACTTAAGTTAAATCAATTAGCAGAAAGAACAAAGTTGAGCCGAAGATTATTACGGATGGATTAACCATTTGGTCGGAAGTCGGTGTACCATAACGAAATTCTGTCCTTAAAGTTACGAGGTTAAACGCAAGCCAACTGACAATCCAAAGAAAATGAACGAAGTAACTAGTCAAGTGCTAATCTAGTGGCCTTATGTCTTGTAATATGCTTAAAGCTTACCTGCATTTCCTTGCCACTCAAGAATAGTGAGAACCAAAATACTGCAACCGAATATCGCCGATTTCATTCTTTTATCTGTATCATATAGTGGATAGCACTCCCTGGCGATGATATTCAGTCCAAATTCTAGAGACAAACAAATTAGTAGTCAATAGGCCATCCACGCATCAAACAAAACAGTTAAAGCTAAAAACGAAATCTTACATCAGAATCATTGCTCAGGTGTGAGTGGTGGAGTTAATATCGGTTTGAATTCAGTGGAAATGGTGCAGTAACTTAACTATACACTGACTATATATGCAAAGAAACTAAATACACTCGTTGTGAAGCTGAAAATTTGAATTATAGTTACCTTATTGCTGCGTTACCTAAAGACAGTGTTTTTGGCTTGTGCCAGTGAATTGCTTCGATGCCTTCTTGGAACTAATTGAACGCAACCACTACTAATGAGCAATTTGAACTTTTAAAACACAAAACAACGTAACAATTCTTAAAGTAGTTAAGTGATGCGCATTTTTTTCTGCCCTTTTGACCCAAGCTTAGCAGTGTCTATTCTTTGCGGTTTGGTTCGACGGATTAAATGACCTTATCGGTTGTTGTTAATTTGTTCAAACAAACGTAAAAGTAGCCGCATGACTTGCAATCCATAGTTGAAATAGAGTGCCTCCTAAGTGAGAGGATTTTGAATAGATGAATAGAAATTCGGCCAAATCACGTTCGCGTGTCAAAAAAGTGTCTACACGTATAATGTTTGCATTGACGGTGGACACAGTTTCAGTTCACTAGCCAAGGATAACAAACAAACATTAACTTATTCATTATGACTATCTGGAGCCAATGATTGGTTAAAAAAGGTTTATGTTATTTTATATGTTTCACTTAAATTTCACTTGTTTTAGAACTGTTTTTTTTTTATCTACATACACATTCGAGGTTTTGAATAGCGAAAAATAAATAAATAAATAAATAAAGTTCTGATCTGCTTCGGGGAAAAGAGGCTTCTGCTCAGTTAGAAGAAACCTTTCAGGATGTGTCAGTATAAAACAACAGACAGCAGGCCCCCGCGCGGTCCTCTGATTAAACATCGTCAACGCCTTTGTCATTATTTACATACATTATCACCCATCCGGCAGTTAAAGAAAGCAGTTAAGTTGACTAATACTCAATATAAACTGTAATCATACCGCCGTCTCCTATTTTTCTGACGATTTTATAAGCTGCTTTAGGATTCTCATCGTTTATTACATTGTGTAGCCTGCAATAAAGGCGTATTTTTTCGGGCGAGCGATCGCCTATTCCCGTGCGGACTGGAGTTGCCATCTTTAATTTTTGAAACCGGGGAAGGGCTGATCATGCAGTAGGATGTTTGTAGGGCAAGAACGCACCTGCAGCAGGCTAGGTAGCATCACGCCGCTGGAGAATTATTTGATTCAGTTCAGTGGATTAGGTTGAGGTCGATAAGTCTAACATGCATATTACATGACTCACTTACTATCTTTCACTAAAAATTCCCATAATGTAATGTAATGATATATAAGCAAGTCGCATACAGATTCTTCTATGGCCTGAGAGCTTGAAAAGGTCGAGATCTATCACGAAGCGGGATACGCTTGCGATACATTCCAAAAATGAACGAATTTTCTGGAAAGACGGTTGAGGGCAAAAAGCAAACCACATTATCCTAAATATAATAAGTGGAGATCAAAGACCGGGATTTGCCAACTTTCTCTAATAAATACACTTATGACAAGAATTTAGTATCTAGAGGTTTTCCTTCTTATCAGCGGGTTTCTTAAACCAGGTTGGTTGTTAAATCACCCCTTGACATGAGCTCATTGTACAAAACTTAGCTTCGTTGCGGCATAAGCCGAATGGCCAAATGTCAATTGGCTCATCACTTTTTATCATCACTTTTTCAACATGTAAATGAATTTTTTTGTTATGCATTAAGCTAAGAGTGGTAAATAGATGTGCGGTTATAAGGTAGGTTTAGTAAATTGGTTCGGTGAAAAAAACAACTTTATTGACTTTTTCTTCGACCTGAAGATTTCAGTACCAAAACAATAACAAATGAAAAAAATAGTAAAATAAAAGTTAAGTAAGTAAGAAAGGAACAATTGAATATTATCAAAAAAGAAAAATTACTTGGCTATTGTACGGCTTCTACGCTACTCGTATGTTAAGGAAGTTTAATTAGAGTTCGGATGCATAACAATTTAGAATATTTTCAATATATTAGAGGCACTGAGATTTATGATGTTTTCATCGCACATAGACATAATACATAAAACTAGTGCCTTTCAAGATATATTCATAAAACTACTGTTTATCGAGTATAGGCTCTCCAAGAAGATAACCCTTATATGAGAAAGTGATGAGTGGGTACATTTCAACAAATAGTGGAATTCATCACCAATTTCTGATCTATTACAAAGGGGGCAAAGCCTCTGAACTCTGGGTATCTTCCTGTAGCGCTCAGATTCAATAGGTAGCAAGTGGCAAGAAATTCGCATTTTGGTTACTGCCACTGTTGTCTTAACGTTCTTTACTAAATCAAGATAAGACTCAAATCTGACTTCGTTTTTCACTTCACTATACAGACTTAATTTATTGCCAACTGAGGAGTCGGATTTATCCTTTTTCAGACTTTTCGACCAATATTCCTGGTATTCTTTAAACAAATTTCTTTTAAACATTCTAACCAGGTGAGGAAATGTCGTGTAGTCAAAATGTGGCAGATTTGGAGTATAATCATTCAATTTGGTGAAAGAAAAGATGTCAATCAAAGGAGGGATGTGGTCTGCAATATTATGCTTGCCTTCTAAAAGCTGCATTTAAAAAAACCTTGAACATACAAATATGAAATAAAATTTATGAAATAAAATGAATAACCAAGAGTTGCCGTTACAGTCCAGGGTAAAAAATAAAAATAAATAAATAAATAAATAAGTAAAAATAATAATACCAATAATAAGAATAATAGTTTAATGAATGACAAGTGTTTGGTTATGTAGCGAAAAAATGCCAACTATTTATTCAAATACCCCATCCCGCGCGCATAACGCGTATGTTACAAATGAATCCACCCAAAATTTACTTAAGGTCACGTGACGACCACCCATCAGCACACAAATGACGGTACAGACAAGAGTATTTATAACAATGGATGGGAGCAGGGACAGGAGGGTCTCAAATTAGCTGCAAAAACCGTGGACGAAGATCCTGTTAGTTGTAAACGTTGGATCTCTAGAAAAGAGATCAAATCAGCCAAAATATAAAGAACCAAGCAGGTGCGTAGCGTGAGATTTTGAACTTGTACTCACGGAAGAAAAGTTAGAGCGGTAAAAAGGCGTTCCATATTAGGGGGGTCTTGGGGGCATGTCGCCCCACAAAAAAAATTACAATTTAGGGTTTCGAAAATGTAATTCACTGTTTTTCTTTTTCTGTACATAAATAAGGTGGAAAATGCAGTAGTTACTTGTTTATTTTACCCATCTCTAGTGTTATCGGTAAGGTGCAGTGTTTACGGGAAAAAAGGGTAAACCAGTGACAGCATTGCGGAGGTTACAAGAAAAAAGGCGAGACGTGCACCATTCAGATAGGCAAACTCTGTTACAAGGCAAGCAACATCACCAATCGTCCTTGTGCTTGTATGCGTGCAGAATTGCAAGAGAGCTCAATCTCTTCGTCTGTCACCCTACTATAACGTAACTTTTCTTGCCGTCCGTTTATTGAATAACAAAAGGACAAAGGAAACACTAACACAAAGACACCAATAATATTTTCCAGATTTCAGCTGTACTATACAGTACGCATGGGCGTATGTGCGTTTATGGACGCTACGCTCCTGCCAAGAACGAGAAGTCCAAAGACTACTGCAAAGCTGAACTGAACTGAGTCACGTGACTCACGTGAGTCACGTGACTCAGTTTGTAAGGCCAGGGAGTCGCATTTGATAGATAAGGCCATGACTCTTGAACCCCATGGCCTAAACCGCCGTGACGAATTATTGTAATCTATATCCTTAGTATTTTTCCTTTCCAGTTTTTATGTTGTACGTCATTTCTGCCTCTCCCTTTTATTGCGACATTCTCCATTTATATAATATTGTGATTGCTACATAAGTTCAGTAACATCTGTAAACCTGAAGAAGGCTGGTATGGCCAGCCGAAATATTGTTATAAAAAACGATACACGTTGTTTTAAATCAGCTTTGCAGTAGTCTTAGGACTTCTCGTTCTTGGTTCTCAAAGGGGTACCTGTGGCTTTTACGGTTATCGGCTAAAATTTTGGCTCTTTTACGGCTATCGGTTAATACTTTTTCAGTTACGGTTAACCACAAAGTTAAAAATTAATTTCTTTTGTGTCAAAGAGTTAAATATTACTAAACCCGTATTTTTTTTCTATCTTTAAAGCAAAATAAAGGTCTTAGGATCATCTCGGGATGAAATAAGCTATTCTTTTGAAAAAATTTTAACATTTGATAGATCATACAATTTATACCACTTCTAATATTATTTTACGCATAGAAATGTCAATAGGCAATTTCAAAATAATCTTTGTGAAAAAGCAAAAGCAGGCACGCAAACGCCCAACTCAAGGCTGGGGCCCGACATTCATTTATAACAGAAATGGCCGTTTTCCCACTACAGACGGATTATTCGTGTGAGACGGGTTATTCGTCGCCTGACTTTATCCGTCAATTTTGACGGACAGTTTGAAGATGGATTATCCGTTTCAGATAGCCTGTGTACAGCCACCCCCTCCCCTCAGAAAAAATCGGTGAAAGGGTGTGTGTGGGGGAGGGGGCGACTGCACATAGGCTAGTCTCAGACGGATAATCCATTTCTAGCTCTAGTGTTAAAACTGCCAATAAGAAAATTCCCGTGTCCAGTAGTGAAGGACTGTACAGAACGACTGTCTGTCGTTGCCTTGTCCATAGGCCTCATTATTCCGCGCGGCTACTGCGTTTCGGGTCACGTGGTCCGAGCGAGTTTTTTCTTTCTCAGATACGCCACCGAAATGCCTTGATCGAGATTGCGCGGGAAGACGCTGTACAGGGAATCTACCGTATCGTCAGAGAAAAACAGGGAATTGTTGTTTATCGGCAATGTGCTTTACAAACAGTGACATCTCTGCGTGTTGTTTCACTGGTATTTCGAGGGCATGACCTCCTGAAAATCACAAATATTAATCCCCAGCGTAGCAGCAGCAGCAGCATCATGCCAGATTTTCGCTATGGAAAAAACTCGATTCTTCGAGAGAGCGGCGAAAATGGAACCTAGGTCTAGCTCAACACCTTAAACGCGCTTGGCCTAAAGTCCGTACGGAGTCAAAAGTAGCCGGGAAATAAAAAACGCAACCATAAGCGAGTTTAGCACCTTCCTTAAAATTAACAAATCTAGAGAACAATTTC